ATTTGCCGTGCCAAGTTCCGGGACTCCTCTCTCTGCTCTCTTCCCGTGCACACGTTGGTTGCTGTTCGAAACATGTTTCTTATAAGCGCCCTTTTCGTGTGAGAGGGGTGAGAGGAGAGGTAATGAACCAAGATATTTTTACTACTTGGCTTTCGGTACCACTTTGTAATGTAGCCATTTTCTGATAGGTGAATTTGTACGTTCAAAAATGGAAGCCATTTTTCTTTCGGCTTTTCTCGGCTGAACTTGATATACTCTGACTGTGCGTTTAACAATTCGAAGCATTTGTCCAATTCCTCTTGTGTTGAGCAAAGGACAAAGCAGTCGTCTACATACCTACAGTGGAGTAGCGGCCCGAGATCAGTCACCGGTGCTTCCACCTTAGACATAAATGCAATGGCAAGGCTTGGAGCCAGTCGTTGTCCCATTGCCAACCCTCTTATTTGAGCGTAGTACTCTNCGATTTCCTCTACACCTATTCTGAGCTACAGTTTCGTAGCCATTAGAAATGGCTATTTGCCGTGCCAAGTTCCGGGACTCCTCTCTCTGCTCTCTTCCCGTGCACACGTTGGTTGCTGTTCGAAACATGTTTCTTATAAGCGCCCTTTTCGTGTGAGAGGGGTGAGAGGAGAGGTAATGAACCAAGATATTTTTACTACTTGGCTTTCGGTACCACTTTGTAATGTAGCCATTTTCTGATAGGTGAATTTGTACGTTCAAAAATGGAAGCCATTTTTCTTTCGGCTTTTCTCGGCTGAACTTGATATACTCTGACTGTGCGTTTAACAATTCGAAGCATTTGTCCAATTCCTCTTGTGTTGAGCAAAGGACAAAGCAGTCGTCTACATACCTACAGTGGAGTAGCGGCCCGAGATCAGTCACCGGTGCTTCCACCTTAGACATAAATGCAATGGCAAGGCTTGGAGCCAGTCGTTGTCCCATTGCCAACCCTCTTATTTGAGCGTAGTACTCTCCAGACCATCTGAAGATTGAGCAGCTCAAGCATTCTTTTAAGAGTGCCATCAGGTGCTCTATCCTGGTGTCCTGCTCTAACTTTATTCAACATTGACATGAATAGTCAACGCCTTCCTGGATTATTGAGCTAACACGAAGTTGACAAAAAGATTTATTCGGCCAACGTTTCGTCGTCTTCGTCTTCCTCAGAATCGATGATCCAAATCGATGGTCCACATTCGTTCGCACTCTCGATCTAACTAGAAGTAATTAATTCGGCAAATTCACAAATGATCGAAGAGTTACAGAAACGTACGAAGCATATCCAATAGAGGCCGCGAAACTTTCTTCTCCAATCAATACGTATTTCTTCACTGGTAACCTAGGCGCTTTTTCCTTCCTAAATACATTTTGTTATTTTAGAATCTCTGTTAACCAGCTGATTATAAATGTGTCCTAGTTGTTTAAAATATCGTTATGTATCATTTGAAAATAGATTTTGGTCTAATCATGGTAATTTTTAAATGTACTTATTAGCTTAAATCGTTTTCGAAGTAGTAGTTGCAAGTGTAACTAACTGATTACTTACGTGTATACTTGGATGGCCCGTCTGTACTGCTTGTTAGAGCCTCAGGATAATTTCCGTCTTTTCGGAGTTTTACTGGTCTAGTCATTGTGGTTTCTTCGAGTCCCGAGGTCAGCCTGGCCAAAGCCTGCTCCAAGCCTTCACTACCACAGGCGGTTGTTGGCCTTCGTCGATCGGAGGGAAATTTGCCACTATGCGAATTGTTTCTTACCAGAAAGGTGGTCGATCCTCGCGCTGGTTTACTCTTATCCGAGCTTCCTAATGGAAACGGCAGACTCCTTCTTAATTTGGGAGACCTTGCCGAGGGCACGAATCTCCACTCTTTACATCGCAGCCTGATACCTAGGAACACCTCCCAGCCACGATGAAGCGGTAAGCCGTCGAGAGGAGCTAATTGACTGGAACAATCAATAGCAATTAATAACTAATCATTAATAAACAATTAATTAAGATAACTATGCTTAGTTGGACACAGAATGTCAAATTTTTGAAATTATCCTCTCTCCAATATGTATCGCTTTCTCTTCACCTTCGAATTACCTATCTCATCAATAGTATTATATGACTATTTTAAGAGGGTTTTAAAATGTTTTGTTAATAATTTACCACATCACTTTGACGGGTGGTGGAGGAAGGAGTGACATTCTTTGTAGAATTGTGATGTATGGCGGAAGAACGAGGTTTCACCGTGTGAGAGGGAATGGGTTACCATTCAAAAGTTAATGTGCGTCAAGAATATGGTCATCCCAGATAAATCCTTGAGGCAACTAGTAAGCCTTTCTTCAACAGATAAAGACCGGCGATCGTCTGTAGTGGCGAACTGGCAATACTTCGAAAACGTGTCACGGTAGTTCATAACAAGAAAGTGGCCCTAGGCCGGAAAAATACCTTTAGAAGTTGTTTCGGCGGTCGAACGATTTCCACGAAAGCTGCCAATTCAAAGTTGGAGTTAAAGCACAAGATAATAAATAGATAGAGGTAATTGTTCGCAATAATATAGAAATATTCGTTTACTTTTCAGATTTCCTCTAGTGAGGGTTATGTGTCGGAGACAGCTACAGTCGGTACAACCGTGCGGGTATCGCCGAATCCACAAGCTGAAACGCTACGAATTCTCGTCAGTGATGAGGATTTAGTGAGTTTGGTTAACTTCAGAACTCAATATATTGTAACAGAAAGTTCTTGCTAACGGTTATCTTCATCTCCCTGGCCGAATAATGGGATGAATATTTTATTTAGGTTTGATTACGTAGGGTCAATTTTGCAGCATATTATTTTACAGCCTTTTGTAAAAATTGTGAGAATAAAATTTTTGTATTCGCTTATTAGTCCAAGTTAAAACGAGGACTTTCTCGAGTCGTTCAACGGACGTTAATCGAAGCACACGGTGTTCAATATCCACAAAATCCAGGAGACATGCACTACGAATTGGAATGCTACCTGAGCAAAAAGATTCACGGTGGTTCATTGATCGACCACTGATTGATTGGTCTACTAACATTTTAATGTTGTCGTCAATTCTTTTCCTTCGAAGCAAGAATAGTTGTGCTGAGTTGGAGATCGTCAAAATTGGTGGATATCATTCACAAGAGGAAGTGCACAGACCGATATTAAAGTCTGTTTCAGTAGGAATAAAACTGTAGACGATGGAAAATTATTTTACGCTGATCGCTGAAATTATATTACAGAGGAGTTTTCTTCAAAACTAGTTAGTTCTGAGTTGAATTTAGATGGAAAATAAATCCACTGAATCCATATATTTTTATTTGATCAATGCCGAGGTTAATAGAAAGTCGGTCGTGGGAGTTCCTATTTTTTAACTCTCCTGTTTCTTACATGCACATTCCATTAGCAATCCCTTCTTTTTACACTGTTGATTTGGTTTTGTTAACTACTTGTTTATGTGTGGAGGAGATGGGATAACGTAATGGCCAGTGATGTATCCACCAGGAAGCTGGGTGCGTGTTCGATTCCCTCCTGCACGCTCTCCAGTCAATGCGAACTCTATCGCTCGGCTATGTCCGTGATTACAAGGAGAATCGACTTACTTAACTAGCATAATATAACAATCGTAAAGAAGTAGAAATACTCAAGCAGTAGCGCAAACAACACGCGGAAATTTCGAAGCTCCTTTAAGAATTGCACTGTGGGCGTGATGATTGATCATGTGAAATAAAAAAAATTTGTTTATGTGGCTGACCACTTAATTGGTTACTTACTTACCATTCACTTACTATTCCTTATCCTTACTATTCACTGATCCATTGAGGTTTTTTTTTTCTTTCAAATACTTCACTACTTTTACAAGAATTACAATTGTATTTTAGCGTCCCGGTATGTCACCGGCCACTTACCAGTACATTCTAACCGGTACAGGAGCCACTATATTTGCTGTCGATCAGCGAGGTTATCTCTACCTAAACACACCTCGTATCGACGCCGATGCACCGAATCCTTCAACGTATCAACTGAATGTGAGTGGTGACGATTCCTAGCTGACACTGCGAGCTTTGATGGTTTCCCTTCGAATTTTGTCAAGCACTATATTTTTTCTCACGAACTAGTAAGCTAGGAAATAGGTTACTGAATATTGCGACGTCAAGTAAGTTTTGGTGTAAGAATGACCATTGGTTGCTGTAGTATGTAGTACAAAGCGCGTTTCCCTAGTCTTTTCGATTTTCTTGGAGTACTCTTGAAGAGAAATGTAGGAGCGATATGACGAAAACAACTAAGGGGTTTACTGTAGAATATTTTCGATTTGAACTTCTGCAAGAGAACGTGTCGTTTATGAACCTTTGTCTCTTGACGTATGTCACTAGAAACCCAGCGAGGTTCATTATACTTGAAGTACCTCTAAAATAGGTCAAAGAAGGTCTTCTGAAACATTACAAACAAATTTTTTTTATGTATCGTTTTTATAATATAATGGTTTTTAATTGTATAACAAAGAAAGAGTGACGGTTCTCTGCCGTTCTCCTCTTGTACTGGCAAATCGTTAAGAAAAGAAGGAGCCGAATGAGTCTTAGTAGAGTACATAAGCATTACATTAAAGTAAACTCTCTTTTTCCCTGTATGAGAGGTTGAATATATTGGCGAAATGGGTATACCACTATGCATTAGTTTAAAAACACTCCACTAAGCTGGCAGAGGAAACAGAAACATAATGGAGAAGATTTTGAACTAAAAGTCACTCACAGAGGAATTCAAAGCACCAGCACGTAAAACTCTTGAAGCGTTCCGGATTAATTCCAAGGATCCAAAAACGAACCGCAAAGAGGAGTATTTTGTGGTCACGTGTGGCCCTGCACCATTCCTCAGGATGATTCTGTGACCTGAGCCAGGCACTTGTTCTTGTATTAGTTTGTGCAGCTGTTCTACAGCATTTAACTGGGAGACTTATAGAGAGTATAGTGTGTGTTTAAAAGATGCTGTTCATTATGCGAGTGCAAATTCGTGGGTTAAGCCTAATCTGCTAAGGTTACGAAAGTGTTTGGCCGAGTAGATTGTATGCCAATTTGACCTTTCCAGGCTCTAAAGAAAGGGAAACCGCTGGAGCGTCAGCTATTGTGTGCCAATAAATTTCATAGTGCCAACCTCTTGTTTGATCATTGAAAAAAAACAGTGAATTGTTGATCAATGTTGAGGTTATCGGTCTTAGGAAAGTAGACTCGATTGAAGCTCTTTCCTAGAAACCTTGTCCTAATCTTGTACTTTAGTGGACAACCCGTTTATTGTCCAAATTTGCCGCGCGAATTGCTTTTAACTAGCTGGCGATAGGAATACACAAAAAATAACAACAAATTTTGTAGGCAATAATAAAAGAATAAACTTACAGGTACAAGCTCGCGAAGTGGACACAATGCCGATACGAAGCAGTGAACTGGTGACAATCACGGTGCATGTGCTTGACGTCAACGACAATTCACCACAATTCGATCAACCCATCTACACCGTGAACGTCTCAGCGTTCGGCGAAATCCGACCGGTCGTAGAGGTATGCCATATATTATCATATCACATAATTTCCTTACATGATCCGTCGTTACGTTTTGTGAGGATCCCAACAATTCTTTCATTCCTTCCGCTTTCTCGTATCCGCCATTCACCGGGGTTTTAGGATCTTTGTGTGGCTTCGCCTAATACGTAGGAGCTTGGTCCTCTTCGTATAGCATTGTATCCTAGTCAAGTACATTTTCACTGACATTTTTGGGATAACGGACGTTCTCAGACCTTCATCACAGGTTGTCAGCAACATCTATGGAAAGAAAATAGTTTTCTGCAGATAAGTCAGCTACTAGTTTCTTAACCGTAGAGGAAGGTGAGACTTGGTTCTTCCGTGGCAGGATCGAATAACTGCCTTGCACGTATTACTGAGCGCCATCTCCACGATAAGTGCGGTGTTCGAAAGCTAAATAACCGTTTTTGGCCAGGAAAATCCATTTACAAGCATAGTGATTGTAGGCTTTTGTTTTCGAAAATTTTTTACCATTTTATTTTCCTTCATAACTCTCTCAAAAAATTTTTTAAGGTACGAGCCACAGACGCCGACTCCGGTGTTTTTGGTGCGATCACGTATCGGATTTTAGAGGTACGGTATTAAGTCAGGAGACGAAAATAAACGCTTAAGGGTAGAATTCTTTTCATGAACTTATCGAAATATTTCGAAGTCGTGGCCAGTCCTTTCTAATTAAAGAGTGATGAGTCGTAAAATATTCTAAACAAAAAAAAGAGTAACTGGTATCGTCTATTGAAATTTTTTTACAAACACTTCAGTTTCATTCATTTCGAAGTTTCACTATCATTTTATCCCTTATTTGATAATTGCTGACTCATTTTTTGTTAGAATGATTTTTTAGGTGACACATGAAGCCAATGACAAATTCCATTATGATGACGCGACAAACATGCTATTCGTCGACGGTGATCTCATCCCAGGAGAGCAATATCAGGTCTTGTATTTGCACCAATGCGTTTGTGTCTATTGTTACCACAACGATTCAGTACTAGTTGAAATCTATAGCATGTCATAATTTCTGTTGCTTTCTTAGCTCTCATTAGGGTGGAATAAAGCAGGCACAATGATATCGGTTAGCGCACTGCTAAGTAGATATCTGTCTGTTAGTACGCGAAAAAATATATAATTGGATTGTAGGTGGTTTTGGAGGCCACTGACGGTGGCGGCAGATCATCAAAAGCGATCGTGGTCCTGCTGGCGATGCACCCAGCGTTCAGACTGGCGAGCCTGCCTCCGCTACCCGGAATGGAAACGTTTGTCCCCAATCCGGCAGCATTTTTCATCACTACGCCGATTTCTCCGAGGAGTACCGGTATGTCATAGATCTTTTATGAGCCTTCAGTGCACTAATTAGCACGTGTTTCTCGATATGTACTGAGCATACGTTCATTTATTGCGAAAATAGTGGACGCTTTCAAGGGTTGACCGAATTATATCAGCTCGTTGTGAACTGTACTTGGATAGCTGAATACTTGGGCGGCCCGTCTTCACTAGTTGTGTGGGCGCCAGTACAATCTCCATTTTTTTGGGACTAGCCGGTTGAGGCATTGTGGTTCTCTGGAATCCCGAGCTCAGCCTGGCGAAAGTCTGCCCGGGGTTGTGAACTGTAGTGGCTAAATTATGGAACAATAACAGCTACAGGTCGCTGCCATTCTACCGAGGTGAAATATGGATTTTGGAGGGTCCACAGTCAAAACAGCAAAGTCTTTTGATATTGACTTAAAAAAGAGTGGAAAGAAAAGAGCCAAAGATCATACTATGAATGGACCATAAGCTTTTACATTATATGGTTAACGCGAACTTTCACCCCTTTGGTAGCTAATGAGACTAGAGATTCACTTCTATCGATTAGCGTAGTAACTACCGTAATAGTTGCCAGAAGGACTTCCTCAGGCTGTTTTTCCCCTGCTTTCTTTCACTGTCCCTCCTCCACTCTCTCTATCTCCGTCTTTGTCTGTGTCTCTCTGTGTTCCTCATGCACTCTTTTTCTCGATGAAATACGTTTGAAGTGTGACAATCAGCATTTCTTCAGAGCAAGAAGAAACGATTCAAACGTTTGTTACGGAAGTCAGTGAAAACACTCCAATTAATACGATTGTGGTGTCACTGGGGGTAAGAAAAACTGTTGCTGACAGAAAAAACAAACCTCGTAGAACCAAAAAGAAGTCGGTTTTTAATTTCAGGGTGAAGTTGTCAACGAAGATGTTTACTACTTAATTGTCGATGGAAATATCGAGGAAAAGTTCGCGATTAATGAACGAACGTACGTTCTCGAATTTTCACCAGAAAACTCTTGATGAGTGGTCATAGTTGAGAAAGTCCACAAAAATCAAAGTGGAAGATGGGTGTAGGTGGTCAGCAGTAGGACTATGAAGACGGCTTTCGTCAAACTTTAGCACTGACTCTGCCATCAACTGTAGTTTTTCACTGATTTGAAACAATATAAAACTTTTCAGGGGCGTCATCACAACAGTTGGTGAATTCGATCGTGAACGAACGGCAATGTATTCATTGCAAATTGACACTCGTAGTCGACATCCTGATCAACATCTGTACTGGACAATTGTACAGATTGGTGTGCTGGTAAGAATAGCTTTATCGTATAATGAAGATATGAGCAGTGAAAAGTAAATAACTCCCTAAACGCAAACATCCAGCCTTGCGTAAACAAAAAAGGATAAGGCGTACGCTGGTGATCATTTCCTAGAGGTGCACCATACATACAACTCCATCGTAAAGATGTCAGTTGTTGAACTCCCTCAGAGAAGTCAAACAGCGATTTGTCCATCTCAAAATAGATGGAGTTTAGTTTGGCCAGAGAGTGGGATCGAAGCAACGACCGTTTCTGTTTAAAGCGGCACCTCTAGTTTTTTTGCTGAACGCGGTCTTATTATTATTATTATTATTATTATTATTATTACCCGGATTGTGAAGTGGTGAAGTGCGCTGCTCTCCGGTAAGGACAACAGCGCGTGTTCGTTCTCCACTGCATACACCTGTGGTCCGGAGTTTTGCAAATATCTCAGTATTTTATACGAATTATTATTATTATTATTATCATATATATATATATATATATACATATATGCATACGATGCATTGCGACTGCTGCAGTCTTTGAGACAAGAGTTGGCATTTAATACGCTATCCGTGACTTATTCAGGACGTTAACGACAATTCACCTCATTTTGTGGGTCCTCAACCTATTCGACTCCAGCTTAACATTCACGACCTCGACCAGATCAAATCGAATATGATCATTGGTCAGTGAAATTTTAGTTTGACTAATTTCGCTAGATCAATTATTTTCCTTACTTTTTTTTTACCGTACAGGAAAGGTCATCGTCGAGGATCCAGACGGTGAGGATAACGGTCGTCTAGAGCTGCGTATTGCACCCGATATGAACAGGTGAATTGTGACGTGCTAATGCTAGTAATTTAAATGGTATTAAGATTCGATGCTTGGTACTGTTTCACACTTGCACGGAATAAGGAAGAACAACTAGCCAAACGACAGAAATAGTACTTTAAACTAAATGGAATTTGTTCTACCGGTTATATGGTACACAAAGATGGAATAAAGAATGAAGCATTGTGCATCGAACAATCTCTTAGCGATGCGCCGTGCACTGAACTCTTTTCATTGCATCGTAGAGGTGATTAAACGCATAGTCGTCCCATATAATGATTTACGAGCGATCCCTATTGTTGTTTTTTTGTCACATCGCATCTACTCACTGTCATTTGTCAACTCAGTGTTTCACGGTCTCAGACAAGTGTGTTATCAATCAACCAAACGCGGAGGAACAAGGAATTTGGCTAGTCCATAACACATAATCGAAGGATAGGTGTTGTAGGTATAATAGAGTCCTCTAACCCACTACAAGCCCCTGTTGTGTACACTAATGCATATCGCATCAGTGCATGATAAGCCTAAAATGTTCTTTCTTCTTTGAGGCTGTTTGCGGTGTCCAACGACGGTGTAGTGTCAGTCAATGGCGATTTCACTGCCGCTCATTTCGGCAATCATCGAATGTTCATTGTAGCCCGGGATCACGGTGATCAGCCTCGAGAAACCAAAGCTGAAGTGATTGTCAGCATCTTTAGCACGTTCATTACCGTTGCCACCAGTCCACCAGTGGTAAGTTTAATATTTTTAGTTATTTCATGCTGAATAGGTTTATGCCAAACATGCTAGTACACATGAGTCATCAAATAATCAGAGGATACCACTGTAATGATGCTGAGATGTTTGCGAAACTCCTGGTCGCAGTTGTCTGCGATGGGGATTGAAATTGATGGCGATGGGGACATTGGATATAGCTATTACTCTTTACTGGGTTAAAGCGTTCATTCCCCCACAATGCGCGTCCATCGTTTCTCTTTCCTCTTAGCCAGTTTTCTATTGATCAATGCCATCAGCGATCACCCGTCAACGAGATTGATCTCGAGCGCACAATTTAGCATTGAACACGGTTAAGCTGAAGCTGTAGTTGGAATTACAGTGTTAACTATTTATTTGCTGCCTATTATATTACAATCCACACTCCCCTTCCACTCCCTCCACCCGCTCCGGAATGCCGCACAGTGCTCTACCCGTTTCACCGCCAGTATATTCGTGTTCGTCTTACAAAGGATCTAGTATATCGCACACAAACTCATGCAATCACAGTCTCTAGAGTTAGGACATATTATGCAATTTTGCGTTGTACCTAGATGGTTATACACACGTTTACGAACCAGGTGGACTTTGAGAGTGGTCAGTGGTATCTCAATCACTGTTACCTCTTTGACCCTACCTTTCTTAAGTAGTTTTATAGCTGTACTTATTTCATTGGATATAAAGGACTAAACAAACGATCTTTTGCTTTCGAAAGGAAGTGTAACTCCTTTGGAAAGCTTTAGAGGAAAACAAAACTTCCAAACAATAATTCTACTCTCAGACTCTCTGATACTCACTAGAGTTTTAGAATAGCTCTACATGAGCGTTTTAAGGTTTTCACCACAGATATTTTTTTTAAGAGTCGCAGAAAGCTTTTCTCAGCCACGTTTGATGAGTTTCGTGAAACGGCATCTCTGATTAACCCCGTGCATGATCGAATCAGAGTTCATGCGTCATCTCACTGCATCTCTAACCGCTGCGTTTTCCACACACCATCAAAAACCGATGCTCATAATATCTAACCTTTCAGTTTAATATTTGGTTTTTCTTTTTTCAGAAAGGAAATTTCGAATATACGAGTTCAGCTGAGGAAACTCCAATACAGCCAGATCACTTTTACCACCGTGTCACCACTGCATCTACGAGTAAGAAAGATCATAGTACGTCCATTTCAGTTTAAAGCACACTATTTCTTTGCATTTAGTTTTTTGGAGAAAAAACACCTAGTTGACATTTCAATGAGTCCACGTACTAAGAAAATGTTCAGTAACAAATAAAGTGAAGAGAAACATCTCTTTTTGTCTTTGCGATCGTACGTAAGTGTACAGGGAAATATGTTCCCATGGATATTTTAGCGTTCTTTTCTTTCCCGTCACCACCAACTCTGCCGCCGGATTTCGTCGTGCCTATCGTGCCGGCCACCACAATGACTCGGGGATCGGTGAGCTTTATATCGTAGAGACGTACTTTTTACTTACCAACAGGATTCCTTGAATAGTCTGTCCACAGTCATGGGGATCCCGAATGTGCTTCGATTCGAATGATTTTATTACAACTCTCTTTCATGGAAATATGCGCGTTTATATGTGAGTTCGGCAATGGTCAGGTGATCGTTTTCTCTTCTTATGTGCGCATTAAGTGCCGGTCCTGCTTGTTCTCTTTGAAGTTCTCACAGTGTCGTACTTAGACAGCTTCGTATCGTTTATATATAGAATTCCTTCCTTTTAAAAATTCTAGAGGAAGGTCCTGCATTGCAAGTAGAACGTTTCCAAAAATTCAATAAATAAGTTATAGCGCTTAATTAATTTAGTGATAATGGACGAATGATGAATGAATGAACAGTATGCATGATCAACATGAGTTTAAATTTTTGAGCTTACGAGAGGTTGATAATGAGATTTATTTCGGCTAACGTTTCGACGTCTTCGTCTTCATCAGAGCCGATGTTCCGTGTCGATGGTCCACAGTTATTCGTCTTCTCTATGTGGCGTACCGAGTCAGACCTTCTTCATTAGAACATCGCACAAATGAGGCATTCTTACCCGGCAGTTCTCTTTTATATAGGGCGATTGCTCCTGATAAGTCTATACTGCGTGGTGGATTATCCGTTGATAATAATTTGTTTTCAACGGATAATCCACCCCTCAGCAGTCGGTGTTATGTTGGTCAGCCACAGAGCGAATAGCAAAACATTTTTCAAATCGGCCGTCATTTAACCTCGGTAGTAAAATAATCAACATGTGTTTAAATTGCGGTGCCTCATTCGTGCCGAGTTCCACCGAAGAAGATCCTTCTCGGTACGACGACGAAGGCGCTGTATCGAGAAGACGGACAACTGCGGGCCATCGTCACGGATCATTGGCTCTGATGAAGACTGCAAGCTCAACAATTTTAACACATGTTGATTATTTTACTACGAGGTTGCAAGGCTAAATGAATACCGGTTTGACAATTACTACTCATGATGTTAAAATATGTGAAAATGTGAAAAATAGTAGGAAAATGGTTACATGGAATTACTAGGTTTCATGCTTTGCTGGGCACAAACATAAGACGTGTTGACTAGTGGTCGTCGTTACTTGCCTAGTCTTAACAAATTTACTGAATGCTGATCTGTGTGGTTCGCCATTACGGAGCCATTGTTTATGCTTGTGAGTGAGATTTTTGTGATTTACCTTCCTGGAGCGAAATTTCAACTCAATAAAATATGACTGGTAGAGAAGGTGTTTACAAACTCGTCAAGAAACTTGATGAAACTATTAGAACATTGATAGAAATAAAATTAAGGCTACTGAGTTCAAATAAGATAAGTCTGAAACGCAAAGCTTCGGCACTGGTCAATTCTTTAGAGATGCACGATGGGTTATACTCCATTCGTAGTGTTTCATATGTCATTGAATACATAATTTTAAACAATGAAATGAGATGCGGTTGATCTCCAATCCATGAGAGCACCACTTTCGAACCATTATGATGCTGAGATATTCGCAAAACTTAGACCCCGGACCGGAACGAACCTTGCCTTTCCTTTCCTGGGGCTCGCGCATTACGCAATGCGCTACGAAGCTCTTGGTCTGCGTTTCTCCCAGCTAGTTTTCTATCTAACGCTGCTATCACCAATTACCCCTCGGCGGGATTACTATTTTTATGCTTCCTGAGATGTCTAACACCCAATTTCCAGACCGTTGCTGGATGAAAAGCTTGGTTTTCCCAATACGCGGCATTGTACGAACGGCCGCGTGTTTATTGTAGAGCACCTCTAAGTCTTACAAAGTTTCGCTGAATTTCTAGAATGTTGAAAGAAAAGGAACGGGAAAGTGAAAAATGCAGTCATTGAACTGTGATGGAGTTTTGTCGCATTATTTGTACTGTTTTATATAGTATTATTTTATTCTCCATTGCTTTCGTCAATTGGAGCAACCAATTTGGTCAGTTTTTAGAACACCACGACAAAAAATTTGTGGACTCTTTCGCAAATACAGCCAACGTCAGCTGGGAGAACAATGTTTGAACTACCAACAACTGTAGAAATTTCCAGCGCAATCACAGTAGGTTTATACACAGTTTCCTCATACTCGCTTTCGTTTCACCTCCGTTCTTTCTTTTCTCCTCATTTCCCTATTTTCCATAGATTTTCGTTCTCTCCTTTTCTTCTTTAGCTTACCGATCTCAATTCTATGTCGTCGAGAACTTTACTTTAAATACATTTTTATAGGGGCAATAAATCTTTAGAGCTCAACTGATTTTAAAACTAACTACTTCTGAGATATTTGCAAAACACCGGACCCCTGCTGTCTGCAGTTCACCACCACACCATGCGAGTCTTTCGTTTCGCCTATCTTTCAGCCGTACTATTAACCTATAGGCGCTATCAGCAATTACTCGCCAACGGGATTTATCTGGGGATCACAAATCGGCATGGACCCAGTTAAGCTTAAGCTATGGTATAAATCATAATGCCGTCAATTTTTATTTACTGCCTACTATTTTTTAATGGCAGGGTGAACGGGCGATTGCTCATAGCACCTATAGGTCAATAACATGGATGAGAGACAGACGAAACGAAGGACTGGCATGGATTGGTGGTCAACGCGTTAGCCACCGGAAACGGTAATAGCGTGTTTGGTTCCCACCGCCGACACCAATAAGCCGGAGTTTTGCAAATATCGCAGCAACATTGTAACTAACTGCTTCGTTTTACATTTTGACATGATTTAGATGCCTTATTGAAACTATGTGAAGGCAATCGATCGCTCTTGGTTTCTATTTGCCTTTGTCAAAGCGAATTACAGCCATACGTGCCATCAACGACTAAGGCGCCAGGGCCAAAACGTCTAGCGCCTGTCTTCAATCCTCCACAAATTACCGTCACCGTTGACGAAAATGAAGCAGAAGTCGAAATTGCAAAGGTGAGTTTCTCAAAAAGAGGAAAAGGGAACCAAAACGCAGCCAACACACTCTGGTTTCCGCTTCGCAGGTTCATGCCACCTATCCTGATGGCCGGCCAGGATCAATCTCTTATGTGCTGCACAAAGGTGATCCTACAATGTTTGAGTAAGTGCATCTTCCAAATTGTTCACATTATTCCCTTGCATTGTATCTTGAGAGCTCAATGATGTAGTGTCTTCAAGCATTTTATGCCTATAAGTAACATTTATACTTCAGTAACTGCCACGACCGACTTTCTATTAACCTCGGCATTGATCAAGTGATTTTCTTCGTATTTTTGTTGAGCAAACGCGAGGTGTTATTATTCTTTGTTCACGATTAAGCTGACATTTCGGCGAATTTCGCCTTCCTCAGAGCCTGGAAAGGTCAAGTTGATAGCAACTCACTCGGCCAGACGCCTCCATAACCAAACAAAGAAACTCCAAACCAAGATTTCAATCACTTTGAACACAGCTTTGCACACTCACCGCTTTAAAGGTGAGAGAAAGCGGTGAGTGTGCAAAGCTGTGTTCAAAGTGATTGAAATCTTGGTTTGGAGTTTCTTTGTTTGGTTATGGAGGCGTCTGGCCGAGTGAGTTGCTATCAACTTGACCTTTCCAGGCTCTGAGGAAGGCGAAATTCGCCGAAATGTCAGCTTAATCGTGAACAAAGAATAATAACACCTCGCGTTTGCTCAACAAAAATACGAAGAAAATCATTTATACTTTATTCAAATAGATATTTCTAAAATATCGGAGCTGTTTTGCAAGGCGTTGGATAAGGACCAATTTGTTTCCTATTTTTCAAAGTTCAATATTTATGACACATTTTCCGCGGCAACTAGGAAATTGACTTAAACATAGCTGATTTTTCAGGAAAAGAATCTGCCCATATCTTAGCATCTTGTGGTTGTACTTCACATCATACCCTGCCTTGAAACTAAGAAGAGACTGTGGATTAAAAGTTAACATTTGGGAAAAGAATTGTTTATTAATTTCCATCTAGAACTTAAGCGTTATTGAAGCAGCACAGCAGACTCATTGTCTGGGAGATTCATTGAAACTTTTCATAATTGACGAGTGTGTGTAGCGCACTGGTTAGAGACTGCCTGCAATGCACATGGGATCAATCCCGCGCCCCAGGTTCACCAAACTGCCCATCCCTGCGAGGCGGCATCAGCAAATTGGTACCATACCTGCCTGGGAGGATAGCAGCACTGGTTCGATACATCGGTAGGCCACCAGGATTCATAGTAAAGGCCAAATATGCATTCAATTACCTCTAACGATGCCTTATAAATTCGAGTATGCATTCCTCAGAGATTGGTCAAGCCGAAAGCTTTATCCTTTTACTGTCTTCTATTGACAGCTGATAAGAGATTGAAGAATCAACAATACAAGACATAAAGTTCCGCGAATTGTTTATGAAAGGTTATTAGGTTCTGTTTGTTCAAAACCCATTAATATCTTTAATCCACTTCGAGAGAGCATCTCGGTAGTGGTTAGAGGTGTAGTGCAATAAAGAATAAAAATGATAAAGCTCTCGGCGTAAATCTATTCCTTAGCGATGCAATATGCACTCAACTTCATTAAGCATCGTTTAGTGGTGATTGGATGCATATCTGGCCTTTACAATGACTCACGGTGGCCTACCGATGTATCGAGTCAATGCTGCTATGCTCCCAGAAAAGTCTGATACCAATTTGCCTATCTTGGAGGGGTGGAAGGCTCGGTGGGCCATGGATGCAGGAATCGATCTCACTACCCCTCCAACCATTGTATACGCGCCCATTGTAGTGCAATAGACGTGTAGTTGTCGGTGGTAACCCGCACCTTTCTCGAAACAGTGAGTTTCATTCCATTCGAGATCGGAAAATCAGTGTCAAGTTTCTCTAAAGCGGTAAAAATACTGACTTTAAACATCGATAGGCAACTGAAGTCGTTATATTCGTCAAATACACATTCATTTCGCTCAGTGGTGTAAGAACAACACTAAACACTTCTATCCTTTTACGTACTTCCTCAGCGGTTATCGATACCTCAAGACCAACTTTCTTTTAACCCCGGCATTGATCAATAGTTCACTGTTTTTCTTGATAAGCAATCAAGAAATTATTAGTACAGCATTTATTGGTACACAATAGTTGATGCTTTGGCGGATTCGCGATCTTCAGAGCCTGCAATGGTCAAATTGACACGCAATCTACTCAGCGGAACATTCTCATTACCTCAGCGGACAAAGTTTGATACACAAATTGTTCATTGTCATAATAAACGGTTTCTTTCAAATACTCACCGTTTTGTTCCAGTTATTTGGTTGAGACCAACCGCACAGAGTCTTATGTGAGCGAGAAATGTGCCTGGCTCAGGTCAAAAAAATCGACCACAATCATGGATCGAGGTCACGTGTGATCACTGGATACCTCTCTTTGCGATTCGTTTTTGGATTTTTGAAATATGTCTAAAGTGCTTCAAGGGTTTTACGGGTTGATGTTTCAGGCTCCTATGCGAGGATAACGGCTTTTAGTTCAAAATTTTCTCCGTTGTGTTTTTGTCCTCTATGTGCGTGTAGTAGATGACTAAGGTGTACCTAATCGCCGGTAAAGCATGTGGGGACGAATATATTAGCGAAACGTGTGGACCAGTTTGGGTTCGCATAAAAGAAGACCTAGTCGGTAAAACTAAATTGAAAACAAACACTCCTTTAGGTGCGCATAAGACACAGAGAGATAACGAAGATTTAGAAACAAAAGTCACTGTCCTCACATAGGAATTTAAAACATCATCGCGTAAAACTCTTAAACCGTTTTGGCCAAATTCAAGAAATCCAAAAATGAACGGCGATGAGTGCCATGTAATAAAGCGTGAACCCATGCCATACCTCTGGCCGATTTTTTAACCTGACCCAGGCATGTTCTTCGTCTATGTAGTAACTGTAGGCGACTGGTCTTCATCAAATAACTCGAAGACTTACAGATAACGATATAGTGAGTGTTTTAAAAAATGTTTATTATGCGGGTGAAAAAATGTGTGTGCTAAATGATGTCTGCTCAGTTAATGAAAATGTTTATCTGAGTAGATTGGATGTCATTTTGAGCTTTCCAGGTTCTGAAGAAGACGAAACCGCCGAAGCGTGGGCTATTGTGTATTAATAACTGCTGCTATAACAATTTCGGGTTTTTTCATCAAAACATTAGGTTATAGATATACTCACTACGTTATCGGTGTTCCCGTTGGGATTGCGATCTTTGCAGTGGACGAACCCTCACCTTCATAATCATCGGGTGACAACCAGTTTTTTCTTCAGAAAAAGGACATATGATATCTCCACCCTATTTAAGCCTATCCACTGCAGAAATTTGGTTATCTATATTTAGATCTATTTTGCAGGGTATCCTCTATGTCGGGGAAGGTAAAGTTGCTACGGCCATTAGACGCTGAAAAGGATACTTCGTACATGCTGCAGATATCAACGGCAGAGGTGAGCTATCAAGAAAAACGCCTGGACAACGTGATTTAATAGGGATTGAAGATTATTGGTTTAGAAACATGTGTATAAATCTTTAATGATTGTTGCTTTTGAGCCTGTGACCCTCATCTGCCATATAGGGGAGGAGCTTTCTTTGTTGTGCTATAAGTTCTGCAAAGCGGGTCCTTTCAATTTTTTTCAGATCTCAGATTTGTTAAGTAAACCCCTATATATAACGATATTATACAGCCATGTGATGATAACGTAGAACGTAGGTATAAGAAACATAACCAGTAAGAAACTCATTAGGTAAAAAATGACATAAAAAGCAGAGGGGATACCAGTAAAGGAAAAGTATGTTCTGCAATAGCGTGTAGGTAACTTGAGGAAGAATGATATTATGCATCACCAGTTATGAAAATTATGCTAGCGTGGAAGCGGGGCACGAAAGTGGCTTGGATCCAGAAATCATTAGTGGACCCTTTCTACAGCTTGAGAACAGGTGGAGCATACGGCCCTTTCGAGACTACATCCCGGTTGGGATGAAGTGCATATAACGTGAATGATCAAGAAGAAAAGGTTACATGGGTACAGTACAGAGGGGTTGAGTGTCTCCAACCTAGCCTGGGATGGCAACTTGCAAGTATGTTACGAAATTGATACATAGTAATCTACGGCAAATTCCCGTAGAAGATTACTTCGTAACACAAGAGATTGGAAGAAACATATACTAAACAGAAAAGAAGTATAATCACGTGGTGAGGTAAAGAATTTTCGTAGACAATAATCCCTATGTTCCACTTTGAAAAAGCGCAGCATTCGGTTTGTCCATCGCACGTTTCTTGCATTTAGTATCTTTTTACAAACTAGTGTAAGAATGGCAACGAACGTCGAAACGTTTCTCTATTCCAGGCATCTGCACTCACCAATGATCCTTTCTTGGACCATTATGTTTCGATTACGGTTAATGTGGGCGATGTAAATGACTGGATTCCGACCTTTGAAAATTCCAACTATAGTTTCACTATCCAAGAAGCTACAACGCCTGGTACAATAATTGGACAAGTCTCTGCTTTTGATCAAGACAAAGAGGTCTGCTCGTCTTCTGAATAATTTTATGCAATCATAGTACGATATTTGTCATTTTAGGCTCCAAATAACCGCATACGGTATCGTCTAGTGAGCGCCGGTGGTCTCGAGAATTATTTCTCAGTGAATTCCGAAACCGGACTTATCACACTGGCGCTTCAAATTGACGCGTTTGCCGGCGAGAAGATTACGGTGTGTTGTTGGCACACCATATTTCTAATACGAAACGTAGACGTCAATGTTAACTTTTTATTCACTGCCCATTATAATTTTCCATGGTAGGGCATAGCGTGTGATACGACCACTATGGTGTTATGCCGAGATCTTTGCAAAACGCCCGGCTGCAGGTGTCTTCGGTGAGGAATGAACGCATTATTACTCTTGCTGGGGACTGACGCGTTCACCGCCACACCACGCGGGTCCTTCATTTCGCTTGACTTTTAGCTATTTCCTATCGATCAGTGCCGTCAGCAATCACCGTCAAAGGAATTGACCTGCAGAGCCCACATCGACATTGAACCCATTTATGCTGAGGCTGTAGTTGAAATCACAATGTTTCACTTTTTATTTGCTGTCTACTACAATTTATCTTCCTATTTTATTTTATTAAATGACCCAACACTATATATCATATTCTACGGATTCCTCCACTTCTTTCATTGGATTCGTCTCTTCGCACCAACCATCCATGAAGGTCTTCCAGCTTTTGTCTGCGGCTTCGGATGGGCTCGAGGATTTTCATATTCGAATGTAGTTAATATTGGTAAAGATGATTCTCTGTCGAACTCTGGGATAGCAAGAGTAATGTGTTCTTGCCTTAAGTGTGAAGAGTGAGCTGTTCCCAGACAAAGCTTGTAACAATTTCCTAACCCCAAAGAGATAATAGACTCTGTGGGCGTTGTGTGGGGTCGAACCAGCTCTTGTGGTTGGGCTGTCAGCGTAATAGACAGGATAACTACCGCTGTGCTATCAGTCGTCGTGTCATAAGTTGGTCCATGTTACTGTGGCCAACTATACAAACATACAAACAAAGGACCCGCATGGTGTGTTGGTGAACGCGTTACTCCTCGGAAAGGACAATAGCGCGTTCGTTCCCCACCATAGACACCTGCGGTCCAGAGTTTTGCAAATATCTCAGCAACGTTGTGGTTGTATTTCGCTTACTTAGTAACCTGCCATGAAAATTATAGAAGGCAGAAAACAAAACGTTAAACATTGTGATTTCAACTACAGCCATAGCTTAACTGGGTTCTATGCCGATTTGCGCTCCTCAGATCAACCCCGCTGACGGGTGATTGCTGTGGCAAAAAGATCGATTGAAATAGCTGAGAGACGTGCGAAACAAAGGACCCACATGGTGTGGTGGTGAACGCGTTACTCCCCGGAAGGACAATAGCGCGTTCGTTCCCCACCATAGACACCTGCGGTCCAGAGTTTTGCAAATATCTCAGCAACGTTGTGGTTATACAAACATATTATCAGCATTTCGAAGTGTTTTGAACCTCTATTATGTCTACTTCAGTACTTTTATACCCACACATTCCATCCGCTAAATATGATTCATTATAGCGACTACAACTGAAGTAACAATCAAATCGAAGTAGTAGCGGAATTAGCAGTTAATGAACTTGTTGGAGGAAATGTTCCTTGTATATTTGTAAGCACAGAATAGAGCTTTTCTCGGCCGTAGGGAGCAACAAAATCCGTGTTTGATGACTAACGATAGATTACAAGAACTTTACGAAAGAGTACTTTGCGCCAAAATAAATTACCAGAAGGAAAATGACCGCCATGTTGGTCATGCTGACCCCTCGTCGTGCCACGTATAATCCTGTAAAATGTCTATTGTTCAATGCGCGTTGAGAGTATAAAATGCTTCTATTTCACCTGTTTTGTTAACTCAATGATAATAGTATTGCATAACTCTAGTTACGAATCGAAGTGACCGATTCTGGATCACCACCGAAATCTGCGATGACAAATGTACTGTTCGAGATCGTTCCCAACACCTCACAGGTTGCTCTCAGTTCTTTGACTAGCCCTGTCGCTTTTGTGGATAATAAAGTATAAAATGTCATATTATTCGAAATCTAATGTTATGCTACAGGTGAACCAAACTGTCACATCGTTCTCAAACCAACCATCTGAGGTAGCGTTGCAATTTAGTCATCGCAACTATACGTGAGTTGTTGTTGAGACTCTCTGTCACATTTTAAAACTACCCTATACAATATAGTACAAATGATATTTTTCACCAAAATTCGCAAGCTTCCAGGTAAATAAGCGTAAAATTTGCAGTAGAGCTTGATGAGGTTGATACTAAATATGATTGGGGCTACAAAGGTCTGAACTAAAACGACGCAGCATTAATCAACGTATTTTTAAATTGTTGAGCTTACGCGAGGTTGATAAGTACTTTTATTCCGGCTAACGTTTTGACGTCTTCGTCTTTATCAGAGCCGTTGATCCGTGTCGGCGGTGCACACTTGTTCGTAATCTCGATGTGAAGCATTCGTTGTCGTACCGAGACAGAACCTTCTTCAGTGAACACCACACGAATGAGCCATGCGTACCAGGCAGTGTCCTTTTATACAGAACGGCAATAATACTTTGGATTGGATATGGTAGTAACAATAGAAAAGAGATTTGGTCATGCGATTGGCAGAATTTAAGCAGAAATTTAGTAAATAGCAGAAGAATGAAAAAGAGAAAATGGAAGAAGGACAGAAAGAATGAGAGGAATGAAAGAAAGTATGTAAAGAATACCATTCCAACCGAGCGATTTATACATGTTTCTGATCTAGTCAAATATGTGTCCTATAGTTGGGATATTGTTAGGAGATAATAAAAAAGTATCTTTAATTAAACAGCTTCTAGAAATACATTGTTTCAGTACTTCTGTCTCTGAGTCTGTACGGCCACCAAATCTTGTGCAAGTGCTGACTGTACGCAACAAGCCGAAGGACACACGATTCGTAACTTGCAACATCGTCAGTGGAAATCATAGAGGTATTCTACAGCTATACTATGAATTAGCCGAGCAGGAAATTTCGCCATAACCTCGAACTAGGCAACGCTTTCGATCTCCTTCTGATTATGTTTGTTGAATTCCTGGGAACTATTAATTGGTTCTGAATTAGCATTTGCGACGTCTGATAAGTATAAGGCAGCGAAGAAATCTCACATTTAATAGGAACAATACAATAATGCAATGCAGTACTTTCGAATAGGTAATATTACAAAGCTCGCTGGACAAACTATGCCCTCTATCGCTCTTTTGTCAGCAAAATTGTGCCACATTTGTCCCGAAGGTTAAGCACACTAAGATCGGTAAGTTTCGTTGGTTACTCTACAGACTAAATTCGCATTCAGCACCTTTACGATTCCACGAATGGAGTTGGCACATCGCTAAAGAATTGACCAACACTGGATGCCTTGTCTTTTTTTCACCTTTTCTTCCTTATTAAATCAACAACTGGTCAATTTTGTTTTAAGGAGCATTCAGCGTCACAGCAGGCAATGACGGTAATTGCGAGCTGAGAACACAAATGGAATTAGACAGAGAAAGTGTAGAACGGTAAAAACAGTATAAAATTCCAGCACTATTTGTTCTTCCTGGAATTTTTATTTTTCGAAAAAGCTCCCAATTATGCTATTTTTTCGGTATCAATGAAATCTCTTACATAAAGAATGGGCTCAGTAGTCAGCGTTCTGTATCAGAAGCAAAAAGTTTCAATCTAGCAATAATAATAAAATACAACATAAGTAAAAATGTAGTAAAAGGACCACAAAGATGCTGAAATATTAACAAAAAAGTGGACCTCTGACCAGATCAAACTACAATTTCCCTCTCTGGGGTCCTGCGGACTACGCACTGCGCACGGCGGTGCTTGGTCTGCGTTTCTCTCACCTAGCTTTCTACGTAACGCAGCCATGAGCAATCACCTGCCAGCGTGATTGATCTGGAGAACACAAATCGGAATTCATAATGGTAGCCATTCATTTTCTGCCTACTTTAATTTTTTTTTGCTGATGGACGATTGGTGATGCGTAGAAAAATGGCATTGCGTAGAAAAATAACTGAGAGAAACGCAGAACAAAGACTTTCGTGCGGCAGTGTGTAATGCGCGAGCCCCCGGAAAGAGAAGACGTGGTTCGATCTGGCTGCTGGTCCAAGTTTTGCGAATATCTCAGCATTAACCACAATGTTGCTGAGATATTTGCAAACTCCGGGTCTTAGGTGTTTGCGGTGCGGAACGAACGCGCTATTACCCTTTCAGGGGGCTAACGTGTTCACCATGCGATCGTTTGTCTCGTTTCGTCTGTCTCTCAGCTAGTTCTATCGATCAGACCATCAGCAATCACCCGTCAACGGGATTTCTTACTAAGTCACACATAATAACCTGCCGTGAAAATTTGTAATAGGTAGTAAATAAAAAGTTAACATTACTTCAGCATCGTTGCGGTTGTAATTCATATCGTACCCTACCTTGAAAAGTTGAAGTAGGCGGAAAATAAAAGGCTGTCATTATAATGAAATAAATAGTACAGATAAACAATAAGTGTAAATAGTAAATAAAACGATAATAGCAATAAATAGTTTAAGTGAACAATAATAACAATAATAAGAACTAATAGTCTTCCTACCTGATCTCTTGCCCGAATTCTCAGCTACGGTTTGAGTCACGGTTTACTGTAACTCGGGAAATTACGAAATCATTAAAAGATATGACTTAGTCACTTTTGCGGCATAAACAAATTATATCCAATGAACAAGTACTCCCAAGGAAAAAAGCAAATTCTTGAGATTAAATTGAAAAAAATTTTAAAATTTGAACGAGAGCGTGTTCTATTTTGATGGTGTTTCAGGTATTTGTTGAACGTCACCGTCACTAACGGCAATGAGGATGATTTCACATTGGTGTCAATTACCGTAATTGACGTAAACGACAACGTGCCGCGATTCATCTACGACAACGATCTCGGCATCTCCATCTACTTTGCCGGCATCTCATCTGCAGCCGAAGCATTCACTAAAGTGCTCACAGTAAAGGTAAATCAGTGAGATCCATGTTAACACTTTTTAGAACTCTACAAAAATCACAAGTGGTAAAGTCGGCTTTGTACATACATGCATAGCATGGGTGCGTGTGCGCGCGGTGGTCAGAGGCGCCCTGCAACACATGTGGAATCGATCCCCGCTCGCATGGTCCACCAAACCTTCCATCCCTCCCGGATTGGCAAATTGGTACCAGAATGGTCTGGGTGGATAGCATCACTGACTGTATACATCGGTAGGCCACCGTGCAATCACCTCCAAACGATGCTTAATGAAGTCGAATTCATAGTACATCCCTAAAGGAACTGATCAACGCCGAGAGCTTTCTTAGAGTTTTATATGTAACAGAGAATGATCCACTAACAAACAATCATAAGTAAGATATTTTAAGCCTAGAAATATTGTTTGGTACCTGTTGATTGATGTTTCAGTCTCTGCAAACTATTCTGCTTTTCATGCTTTCCAACATATAAAGGTAAAAGTAAACAACAGGAGTGGAAGCTAAACAAAAGTATAATGAATGTGCTTGCATTCAGTACTGGATCGTAAGTTACGTGGAAGGTTAAGAGCTTCATTCTCTGAAATCGTCTTTGTAAAAAGCTCCACAACAGATTTTGAAGCATTATTTTCCTCATTTTTCAGATCTGCTTCTGAACTACCTTCTTCTTAGTGTTGTGGAAAATTTGAATTCACCTGTACCAATGTGCTTTTGAATGTTTAGGCTAAAGATGCAGATCTGGGCAATAGCAGCGTGGTGAGCTACTCGATTGATCCGTTTTCGTTGCACTCCAAGTACTTCACAGTCAGTCCTATTGGTGAAATCAGAATCAAGCAAAGTATATCCCAAATACTACAGAAGAATCGTATCAGTTACTTTGATATACAGGCAAGTTCTACTCATCGTACGCACATGTAGGTTACTGTAGGTCACTACCATTTGTAACCTAATGTTCCTCATTGTAACTTTTAAGCCTTGTAGGTCATTTCACTTAGAAAAAACTATGCGCGAAAAACACTAAAGGATTGTATAGTACAATAACATGAGAAACCACTTCCATGCAAATAATCATAGTTTCGATCGCAACCGATCCTAGCAAGGAAGCTAGCTGTCCTTCGATGCTCAGTTAATAGTTAGCGGCACAACATTCTGTGGTGGATTAAAGAGTGATGGATTCAAAAAGCCACTAGTTTAAATTCACAGCATTCCATGCATCCATAAAACAGCATTGAGACGGCATCGCTCAACTATGTCGCACTATGTCGCAAAAGAAGATCTGGTTTAGAATTTAGAGAAAAAACAACTAGTTCAGGTGTCTGCCTGTGATTCTCCAACTGCTGGCCAACAGTTGTGCACCAAAGCGGATGTCGTTATCAATGTCATAACCGAATCTCATCGTTTCCGACTCACTGCCGTCGGTCAGAATCCGCAGCAGTTGAAAGTTCATGAAAAAGTTCGCATCGTACTTTAACGATATTCTTCTTTTTATTTTTTCTATGAAGTTCTTTCTTCTACTTCATTACCGCATATTGCAACTCATCACGTTACTTACGATTTAGAACATATTAAAAACTTTACGACAGTTCACCGGCAGCTGTACTTTGTTGAGTGTTGAAAGCATGGTCAAACAACTGCCGTCAGATAACCAGGTATCACATCACTTGGTCATTTGAAAAGCCTTTCTTCCTCTTTCATTGAAACGCGTCATATTGCTAGGAAAACGGTCATAGTTTCTGAGGTTTCGATAGAACTTTGGAATCTGAAGCAATGTAGTATAAAGATAACCCAATTTGCCATAAGTAATATTGAATTTGGTGGTTATAAATAAGAAAAAACGAAAAACCTCCCAAGAATACACAATATTTACTTTTTTATTTGCTGCCTCCTACAATTTTCACGACAGGGTATTATGCGAAATCAACCATAACGATGCTGAGATATTTGCAAAATTTGGAGCCCGAACCAGATTAAACCACGATTTCCCTTTCCGGGCTCGCGTATTACACACTGCACTACGGAGGCTTTTGCTCTGCGTTTCTCTTAGCAAGTTTTCTATCTATCAGTGCAATCAGCAATCACCCGTCAGCGGGATTGATCTGGGGAACCTACATCGGCATTGAACCCAGTTAAGCTGAGGGTGCCGTCGAAATCACAATGTTTATCTATTTATTTGTATGGTCTTATAAACTAATCTTATTTAGCAAATGCGAAGTTGGTATAGGTCTTTGTTGTCGTTGTCGTTGTCGTTTTTGTTGCTGCTGTTGTTGGTCGATGGCTGACGTTTAGGCGATTTCGCCTTCCTCAGAACCTGGACGTATTTCATACAAAAATGCTTTAATTATTCGGTGAAAAAAGGCTAAAGTATTAATGAAGACCAAACTTTTAAACTACATTGATGAGAAAGGCTACTCACCGCGATGTTAAGAGTGGGATTGGCCCACTCATTGTTCACGTGGGGTCGTCAGCAAGGCACACCCAGGGGTCAAAATATCACTTTGAAATAGGGCACCAGGCCACGTGTGATAGTGAGGCATCCGTCCTTCCGGCTCACCTTTAGATTTTTGAAATTTCTAAATTTTTTATAAATAAAAATATATTTCCTAGTTCATTATTCACCCTATTTCAAAATTATATTTTGACCACTGGGTGTGTCTTGCTCGCGACCCCACATGAACAACGCGTGGGCCAGTCCCACTCGTAACATAACGGTGAGTGGCGTTTCTGTTCAATATGGCGTCTATTTAGAAGTTTGATCTCCATTAATACGTTGGCCTTTTTCCATCGATTAATTACAGTATTCTTATATAAAATACGTCCAAGCTCTGAGGAAGGCGAAGTCGCCGAAACGTCAGCCATCGACCAACATCATCATCAACAACAACAACAACGACAAGGAAGACCTCTACCAACCTCGCACTTGCTGAAGAAGATCAGCTTATAAGATTATATAAATAAATATATCAACTATCTGTGCCGATGTTTATAGAAAGTCGGTCTTTTGAGTTATTAAGAGATGTTCTCACAGTGTTTACTTTTCTATTCACTGCCTGCTTTCAGGTAAGAACGGACATGTATTGGTATGCAGTGAATCCGACCACCAAAAATATTTGTAAGAAAAACGATTTCAGGTAGGAATTCTGCTTAAAAATTTACTTTTTTTTCTTAAAAAAGATAATTTTTAAAAATTTGAAATAAAAATCGTAATTCCCATTACCTACCGACTTTCTATTAAGCTCGGCATTGATCAGATAGTTCTCGATATTCTTGTTGAGCAACACGAGGTGTTACTTTATTCCTTATTCCGTTAAAGCTGACGTTTCGCCAGTATCGCCTCCTTCAGAGCTGTTTGTTACACGCCTTCCACTGAGGAAGAATGTTCTTCTATGAAGTATAAAAATCATACTTGAAAAAATGTGAAATAGAAGGGGATGAATTTTTAACAGAGGATTTGATTTCAGGAAAAAAACACTCTTTGCAGTAGTCTAATTGTTATCATACTATTTTAGAAAACTGTTTGAAAGCTCATCAGTTGCAATAATTGCCGGTAAACTACAGCCTTGGTTCCAACTAGAGAAGATAGAAGAAGACGTTGACGAAGGCGTTGATATTGCTGGAGGCATGCTTTCAAACAACTGGAAGACGGCCAGCATAAGTATGTTTCTTTTGTTGGCATTAACTAAAGATGCCTATACGGATGCGGATCCACGTCAAGTTATGCAGCTTAATTACCACCAATCGCGTTTTTTTCGTAGGCCTTTTGAAGAAGGCTCCTCGAGGATGGTTTTCCTTGCACCTAGAAGGCGTGCTTTACCATTCTCAACTCGTCACCAGAGGCTATCGCTTGTTCTTATGGATCCAAAGAAGTTTTAATAGTTTATGAATAAATTATTCTAGGGCGGTAGCAAGTTAATCGAAAGTAAGAACCTTCTGAATGAACTTGACAGAGCTCGGCTAAATCACTTGAAGGCGTTACCACTGCGATTGAACATGTGATAAAGAAACACTACATAATAGTAATCTTCGAATTTTCGCGGATTATAACTCCAATTGAGCTTAAATACCCTTCCAGGTTGGGTGGTACCACTGCTTGGGAAAGAGAACCTTCTATACGTCGTAGACCAAGACCTATTGTGACACGGGTGGCGCAGTGGATGCAGCTGTCCTGCAACACACCCATAGTTGGGCCCGATTCCGCGACCTAGGCTTACCAAGTCCTGCATCCCTTAGGAGTTTGCATTTTGGCTTCAGACATGTTTGAGAATATAGGGACATTGATTTAACGCACCAGTAAGCCAGTCCAAGTCATTGTGTACCCCGAATATACATTCAGTCACCTCTGCTATGCTTAGTAGAGCCGGTTGCATAGCTCATCTCTAAACGAACGATCCACGATTATCTTTTGTCGTTTATGAATTATGATGGGTGACATAAAACCATACAAAAAAAACTAAAAAAAAACTAAAACTAAAACTAAAAAAACCCGAATGGCCCGGATGGTGTAGTGGTGAAGTGCGCTGCTCCCCGGTAAGGACAACAGCGCGTGTTCGTTCCCCACTGCATACACCTGTGGTCCGGAGTTTTGCAAATATCTCAGCATTTCATACGAGTTATAATTCGAAACATATCACATCCTTGGTAGTCATTCACGTCTTTTTTACATGCAAATGAAAATTTCATCCGGGAATCGTGCAATATTTACTGTTGATTCCAGTGTTGATTGGTTTGGCTACTCTCATCGCTATTGGTGCGACCATCGGGATATGCGTTATTTGCGTGTTCTGGAGTCGCTTTAAAGTATTTTTTATGGTTCTACATTTATTTGTTACACTCAAAAGAGATTTTTTTGTTGTCTATTTAGGGTTCACAACGAAGTGTACATTCATTCAACCCTAATGGTTGCTCGAAAAAATTTAACACTGTCTTTCTACCGAATCCTCCCAATGACGCGCGATTTGACAAGATCTATGAAACACAGGTATGCTGATGTGAGATTTTTAAATATGCGACCCTACAACAAATATCGTGTTGAACCCAGTACTGTAATCATTTAATTCGTTGTCTCAGTTGTCTCACACCTGTTATGCAGGCCTTCAGATATTCCTGTGGGTTTTGTATGTGGGCTTTCTGTTCCTCATGAAGACAGGTTAGATGACAGCATAGCTTTGTTAGAACGTTTCTGGTTCTTCACAATCACCAGCCCTCGTTAATGTCCCTGAAGCGAAATAGAATATTTGACGTAGAAGGGAACAGAAATAATTTTTAAATAATAATCTTATCTTTAACAATTTTAAGGTTCTAAAGAATAGAACAAATTTGCACTATATTGCCATTGTGTCGATATGAAGAAACGTTTTTCCGGATGAAAAATCAGTGAAGATCATACAATTGATTGTATGCGCATTGAAATCGATTCAATCTTTGCATAATCTTTGTGTTTTTATTTCGCGAACCACAAAATACTACAGGTTCTCGTTTTCAGATGTTAGAGATGCCAATATCAGATGAGGATATAACGTTAAAGAACGGCACAGTCGGTGGAAGAAGTCGTAGAGAACTTGGCTATAATAATTATGGACGACAAGGAAGGTAGACACTATAACGAACTACTTTCTTCATAAATGTCTCCCTAGAGTCTGAAGTTAGACTGACATTTTGCCAACAAACAATGTTGTTACTCGGCTCTTCAGAGAATATAACAGTTCTTAACGAAATACTACCGTGTGCCTTTGGTCACTTTTTCTTAACCTTTCGTTTTCTTAAGTCGATTTTATTTCAGTGCTTCTATTTTTCCTCATTTCTTCTCTTTTTGCAGTGTCGCTTATGAAGGAGACTTCAGCATTGAAGAAAGCATGTACGCCCTAAACGTTCCTGGTAGAATCGACCCAGTTACAAAGTACGTTCAACCCATGTCGCTCACACTTTATGAATATCGATTGGTAACCAGCCCCTTAGTAACTTAAAGGTAAAGTGCTGGAAGAGTTCAGTTAAGAAATCCTTAATGTTTTGCCATAAACACACGTGGAAAAGTCTTTTAAGTAAAAAGGGGTACCTGAATAGAATGGTATTCGTGCGTCACATCTTTAACACATAAGTGGCCATACGCATTGATTTAAATGCATGCATCGATGATCCTTTTTTACAACAGCAGCACTTCAACGCATTATCCAACTGTTTGTTTCACCACGCAATTTCTTTCTGCAATACATCTTGTACCACACTGATAAGCTTAGTGTATTCGGAAATCTGTAGCGCGGAAATATGTATATGAAAGTAGGAATAATTATGGTTTGTCGATCTAGCAGCTCTTGGCTCTCTTAAGAGAATGCCTAAACTGCTCAACATTTAGATGGTCCGGGTAGTATTTCGCGCAAATAACAGGGTTAGTATTGAAATAGTGACTGACGCCAAGCCTGGCCATTGCATACAAGTCTAAGGTAGAAGCACCAAGCGATAAATCGATCTCCGACCATTATTCCGCTGTGGATATACAGATTATTGTTTTACAATCTGCCCCATACGAGGAGAGGGGACAATTGCTTTGGGTTTTTGGACAAACACTCACAGAACATTAATTTTTTCCGAGAAAAACAGAAGAAAACTGGCTTCCATTTCTGACTGTTCACATTTTCAAATTAATCTATTCGGAAACGGTTACATCACTAAATGGTACCGAAAGCCAAGTAGTCAAAATACTCTGGATCATTACCTTTCCTCTCATCTTTCACGCACAAAAAGACCGCTTGTGAGATACGAGTTCCGGACAGCGATAGTCACCAATGTGAGCACAGGAAAAGAGCGAAAGGAGGAATCCCTGAAATTGGCACGGCAAACAGCTATTTTCAATCACTACGAAACGGTGGCTCCTCGAGATGGTTTAATGGAAAAGGAGGACCTCAAACGATAAGTCTAAAGAAAACAAAGTCATAAGCACAGCTGTAGAACGCTTAAAATAAAAGATTATAGATGCTTAAAAATGGTCGCTGTACAGAAATTGGTAAAAGTGAATGAATTACTACCGAAGACTCATAGAAGCCAAATAATTCGGAAGCGTTTGTATGATCGTCTATGAACAATGCAAAATTTCATAATTTTTTAGTGGTGGAGACGGTGATTGGATGGGTACGGGTACGGTTTATCTGATCTCTTGTAAAGCTTGAGGGGGCAAAGAAACTGGCGAAATGCGTAGGCAACTATGTATCCCTTTAGAGGTACAAATAGGCGGTAAACGTAAACTTTAGCAAAATAATTCACTAGACGCGCATAGGACACAGACACATAACGGGAAGATTTTGAAGCAGAAGTCATCATCATCACACAGGAATCTAAGACTTCAGCGCTCGAGACCCTCGAAGCATTCTGGATAAATTCCAAGAGTCCAAAATTGAACCGCAGGTGGGAATACCTCATCATCACTCGAGATCTCACACAATATCTCAAACTAGTGTTTAACTTGAAAGGGTTCCTTCCTATCCACATGAGCCCAATACGTTTTGTCTCTACATGGAATATTCAGTGGAAGACTAGTAAAGGGCGCTGAATGTGTGAGGAAGCTTTTTCATGCTAATACGATTGGAAGTTAGCCACAATGCATTGAAGAGCACTACAAATTTTTCATAAATATCTTAAGAAGATTTCTAGTAATACTTATTTTGGAGAAGTAATTATGATCCCTCTTCATAAAATTTCATTCGCACAATTCTTTTTACTTCTTGTGTTAAAAGGAAGATTACCATTTAAGTGTTGTTGTAAACAGGGTTCAGATCATAGCCTCAACTTAACTGGGTTCAATGCCAATTTGGTCTCCCCAGGTCAATCCGTTAACGGCAATTGCTAATGGTAAAGTTAGGTAGAAAACTAGCTGAGAGAAAAGCAGAGCAAGAGGCTCTGTGTCGCAGTGTGTAATGCGCAAGCCCCCGGAAAGGAAAATCGTGATTCGATCTGGAACGGGTCCAAGTTTTGCGAATATCTCAACATCGTTGTGGTTGTAATTCACATCAGACCTTGCGATGAAAAATATAATAGGCAGAAAATAAAAGGTGAATAGGATGCAGATAGTTTAGAAAGAGATCTCATTTCATGATATGAATATAATTTAATAACACTTTTTGTTACTTTCAGTCAGGTTTTGCCACCGTCGAGCCTCCAGAAATGTAGGTTTCAAAAAATCAAGTGCTAGCTGTTAACTGACTAACGTCCTACTCTTGCGCTGAATCAAAGCTTTAATCCAATTTCCTTTAACAACTTCCATCTTTGTTGAATTTAACAAGATTTGCACAAGAACACGCGACCTTGCAACACCCGTATATAAATAAAAACATTGACCAGTTAGCAATTACTGCACATTTTATGCGAATCGATTTTTCGCGTTCGTTCCTGCCACTGATCGATAAGCATCTTTTGCGTGGCGGGGCGCTGCTGCTTGTGACAAGAATGGCTAAGCTATGAATTAATGGTTTCATCACGCTTTTTTTGTTGACTATCCGACTATTAAAACTACGTTAGCTTAACTAAAAATAAGGTTTATCCTTTATTGAACTACTATTTTTCAGGAGGATTGAAAATCTCATGATTCCTACACCCGACTATCCAAAAACTATACGTCAAATTCGTCCACAGCAAAACAAAAGTATGTTGTAGTATTATTTCCAAGAAGAAAGAACTAGAGAGCGTCCAGATTTCTCACCATGTGATCAAAAGTTGATTCTGAATCATGTGCCAAATCTCAGTCTGTCACAGATTATTGATTAGTTGTTTGCATGTCATAACATTATCGATTTCACAGCTCTTCTTTTTAAAGCACTACTCTGATTTACAAATATCTACATCTACGGCGTTTTACCGAGTTTTCATCCATCCTTTGACGCAATACATTAACATGCCAGTGTTGTGAAGCTCAATTTTTCAGTCTTTCACCAATTTTGGTTGTTTCCTTGGTAACCCATGGGATGCTGATCACCTATTGATCTGCATTGATTTTTGGAAAAAAACGAAAGAAATCGCGTAGTTTTCTCATATTTTCCTTTGTTATTGTTTTATTTATTGAATATTTAATAAAAATTTACGGCAAATATGCGGCTTGAGCGCGTGTGGCGCAGTGGTCGGAGGCGTCCTGCAATACACATTGAATCGATTCCCACGCCCAGGCTTGGCAAATTGGTACCAGACTTGTCTGGGAGGATAGCAGCACTGGCTCTATACATCGGTAAGCAATGGCGAGTCATTGTAAAGGGCAGATATGCATTCAATCACCTCCAAACGATGTTTAATGAAATCGAGTGCATGGCTCATCCCTAAGAGATTGACCGGCGTCAAGAGAATAGTTTTTTATGCAGCTTGATTGCTTTTTGTGCAAAAATAAAAAAATGTGTGTGTGTCTTCGACCCTCGAAAGCGGTTCAATGTCGTGATGTGAACTGTAGAGTGTAGATATTTTCCTCTTCATGTATGAAAGCTGCTCATGAGCATCCAGAGAAGGAAATTGTAGTTTTATGGCACTGCAACGTTGGGCCATGAGTGAAAACGCTGGGATACGGCTTGCCCTTTTGAATAAAGCGCCACGACATGGTGTGCTCATTGCTTGTATCCGGTTGCATTCATTGACTGCTTGCCACATAGCTACTGTTGAATGTCGTTATTGCCGCGTACACCTCTAAAGTCGGTAATTAGACCCTTATTGCACCATGAGCATCAACACGATACGAAAAGTTACTGTGGTAATGTATCAAAGAGAGTGCGTTGATAGCAGATGATAGAATGGTGTTTCACATACATTCAATGGTTGTGGTGGTAAACTAAGCGTTAGATAAAATTAACAGCTACAGGAGATTTCCTCCATAATGAAGTACGATGGCCTAATTCTATTTCAAAAGGCAGAAAGGAAAAGTTGAGTGGGAAGAACGAGGATGTGTCTGCGTAATGGTAAGTTGTAAGCAGCATGCCACTGTAATTTGTCTAAGAAGGTGATTTTCCCATCAAATATCACATGTTTCACCTGCTGCCCTGTTGATCGTCTAGTGACATGAGCGGGCGACATCGATTCTTCCATTTCTCTCTGTTTCGTGCAAGATTAACGCCATTTGTTCTGCTTGCGAGGATTCACTAACCATCATACCTATTATTCAATGGTTTTCGTGAAGAACTCTGACCACTGGATCGCTTGTCTTCTTTTGTGCATTTGATTTCTTGGAAAATCCAGTCACCAACGGCACTTGTTCATCGGTTATCGTTCAGGCGTGCTGAGTGTCCGACACATCTTGCCTCGACAGTTTGGCTAATAGCACGGTATCTTTGACTTTTGATCTTTGACGTAGGTTGGAACTCCGCGACACCTCAAACCATGCGTGACATGGAATACTGGTAGAGTCGTTTTTTCTACTGCACATTCTGCTGCGCTCAATGGCGTGTCTTCCGGTCAACGGTCAAGTTTCCAAAGCACAGGTTAAGGCGGAGTGAATAGTGGAGTTGAGAAGATGGGCACCGAGTCGGGTGCTCTTTGTTCTTTTCAATATAACCTCGATTTTCTTGAAAGTTTCCTAAGCCGCTCGCTTCATCCTGCTTAGCTCTGGAGCTAGGTCGTCGATCATGCTGATTTCCTGATCGACCTAGAAAGACGTAATTGGAGCACCCGGAGATATTCATTCCGTTGAGCGTGAATGAAGCACACGTAACCAAACCGTTCCTCATAAGCATCTTTTTGCGATATTTAATCGAAGACCAAATTTTTCACAGGTTTCATCAAAGTCGGCAAGCATTCGTTCCCCTGGTTAATGCTTCGCCTTATAAGAACGATGTCATCACCAAAGGGAAGATGGTGTAATTGCTTATCCTCGATTTTCACACTTGTGTTGTCCCATTCCAATGTTTGCATGACATTCTCGATGGTGGTGGTAAATAATTTTGGCTAGATGGTTTTGGCCTGCCTAACGTATGCTTCTACTTCGATGCCGACATTGTTGAGGAACGGAAATATTTTAGTTGTTAAATTCTTATATAGCAAACAATGAATTTTTATATAATAGAAGGAACTCCATGGCTGCTCAGAGCTTCCACGGTTAGTTCCTTCTTAACTGAGTCATAAAGTTTCTGCAAAACCGATTCAAATTTATAGAACTTAGACAGAGCGCTCTTTTCTACTCTCGCGGTACTTCGATGGCTCTTGTTATCGTGTGGATGTGATCCACCGAACTGAGTTTTTTCGGAAATCCTGTTTGCTCACATGGCCGTCGTTCGTCCAGTGTTTTGACAGTTCTGCTTAGGATGACTCGAGTGAAGAGCTCGGAGACGATGGACAGCAAGCAGATTTGGTGATAGCTGCCGATGTAGTGAAGGCCACCTTTCTTGAACAAACAGCGCAGTGTTGCTGGTCTTCCACTGTGTGGGGATCTTGAATTCGGGCAGGTGAAGTGTGAACAGCTGAGCCAGTGTGTTTACGAGAAATGACGAAAGGTTCTTCAGGTGTTCAAATCATGTAGTGTCCGGATCTGGTGTTGTTAGATTTTTTTGCCGATGATATTGCATGTCGGATTTCAGAAAGGAGAGCATACTCCCATCCGCCACTATTTCGTGTGAAGATAGGAGGCTGTGGCAGTGGAAGAGATCAGAATAGCATTCGTGGATGCTTTGCTCCACTGCCTTCTTGGAACTCGTAGCTGTTCCAACTGTGCATCGCAATAGAGGCATTTTAGTGCTGTAATTGACAAAGATCGGTGTGCCTTGCGAATAATTTTCTAAGCGTTTACAGCTTCGACCGCAACTGCCGCTCTTCTTTGCTTAATATCTTCTTTTATCGCATCTCTGCATTGTTTTGCAAGTTTAGACTTAGAACTTGCGAGTTCAGTTTAGTTGGCGGTTGCCTATATCTCGTGCGATTCCACGCTGGTCTATTAGCTCGAGTGTTTCTGGCGACATGTGTCTCTTGGTTACTTTTAGACTCTTCACTTTCATAACGCCTCTGTGAATATGTTGAATAACCAGATCGTATACCTCGTCAATGTTATCGGCACCTTCCCATCAGCCGACTAGTGAACTGAAGAATTCCCAGTCTATGGTGGTTCTGGTACTTGATTTTTTGAATTTAGCAGCTTTTTCTCGTTTCTGCAAGGAATAAAATCTTGCACGAAGGAGACTATGGTCTGAACCATTGTAGAGTTTTAGCAACACAGCCACATTGATTAACTGAAACCTTTAATTTACTACGATGAGATGTATTTCGTAGTGGAACTATCCATTGAGAGACTCCCCTATCCAACGATAAGAATGGGGCTTCTGAAATTGAATAAAAAGAGTGTTATATTGGATAGTAATATTTTATGCATTACTTTCTTCATGAAGGATAACGGATAAAGCGTTCGGCGTTGATCAATCTCAGAGGGATACATTGTGCATTCGACTTCATTTTGCCCCATTAGAAATGACTAAGTGCATATCCAACTTATACATTATTTGTGGTGACCTTCCAATGTATCAAGTTGGTGCGACTGTCCTGTCCTACAAGAGATGGACGGCTTAGTGAGCTTAGAACTCTGGATCGAATCAAAGATCACGTATCTGTTGCAGGACACCTCCGACCACTACGCTACTTCCAGCGTATCAAATATTTCCTCACACGTTGGTAGTTTTGATGGCTTCCAGTGCAGTTACAAAGAATGGTGTCGATGTATATTAAACACCAAACTTGTTGCAACAAAGGTAGCCGAAAATACTCTATCAGAAAAAAAAATGATTACCCTGTAAAAATCTCCTGTAAGGCGTGCGGAGACGAATACATTGGCGAAACGGGCAGACCCCTCTGTGCTCGCATAAAAGAACACCTTGCCGGCAAACGTAAACGAAATACCCCACTAGGCACACATAGGACCCAGAGACACAACGGAGAGGGCTTTGAAGTACGTGTCACGATCCTCGTGCAAGAATCGAGAACACAAGCGCGCAAAACTCTAGAGGTATTCTGGATTAATTCCAAGAATCCGAAAATGAACCGCAGGGAGGAATGCCTCATTATCACGCGTGATATTGGGCAGTATATAAGCCTGTTATTTTGATGAGATGGGCACAATACGATTCCCTGTGAACTCTGCGGTCTCCACGTGACATGTTTAGTGGAAGACTCATAGAAAGCGTTGAGTGTGCAAAAGCCGTGTTCAATGTGGTTGAAATTTTGGTTCAGCATTTTCTCTGTTTGGTTATGGAGGTGTTTGGCCGTATAGATTGCAGTCAACTTGACCTCTTCAAGCTCTGAGAAAGGCGAAATCCGCTGAAACGTCAGGTTGTGCGTAAATAAAGAAATAAAATAACAACTCGTGTTTGCTCAACAAGAATACGAAAAAAATGACTTTGAAATTGACATTTTGCTAACGATATCGCGTTCCACTTAGTGAAGATTGGTTGTATAAGGCCAGTAGAGAGTAAACCGACCCCTATTTATCTAATGGCCAACAATCATTCTCTTGTTTTTGAGAATAACTGGTTACGGTGATGTGAGTGATTATGGTGATAAATATGACAAGGTTTTTCCTATAAATACTTCTCAAAACCATGAAATCGTCATTAATTCATCGCCGCTACATATCGACTCTTCCCAAAGCAGCCAAGCGATCGGAACTCAACAGAGACCATGGTGTTCTTCAAGAAGGATAAGCGTAAGCTCGAGCACCTTAAGAAGGACATCGATATCGTAAGTACCGTTTTGATTCACGGTGGCGGGTAGGTATAAGGGGCTATCGCCGGCGTTGTGAATGATTTTGCTGAGCACAGAGCAATAAGTTAGGGAGTCGATAAAATCCACCACAATTCGTCTTCGACTAGCATTTATCAAAGAAAATGAAGTTGGTCGATAAAATGGAAATTCACGAGTCGAACAGCCACAAAATCACAGTGAATATTTCGTACTAGATCCTGCTCGATTCTGAGCATTCTGTTCCGTTCTCCAATTAAGCATATGATTCTGCAGTTCACGTATTTCCTGTCATTGTAAACCAGCTTTCATTTCACCTAGGTTTGAATGGTCAATGGGACGCATTTCATTGATCGGCTAACATGAGGTTGATGACAAGGTTTATTCAGCTAACGTTTCGACGTCTTAGTTTTTATCAGCACTGATGATCAATGTTGATCGTCCACAGTTGTTCGTTTTCTTGATATGGTATCTTCATTGTCTTTTTATTAAGACTGATCTTCTCCAGTGTAGAACCGCTCGAATGAGTCGACCTCACTCAGCAGCACTCTTTTATACAAAATGGTTGTTGTTGATTATGAGAACAACCTTATCTATTAATAACTGCTGCAGGATGGATTACCGGTTGGAAAACAAAATATTATCATCGGATAGCCATTATTAACAACAACCGTTTTGCTCAAGAAAGTAAGAAAGAAAGGTGAGATTGTTTCGTTTGAGCAGCGCTCCACTGACTAGGTCAGACTCGCCAAGACAACTAAGATGCAGCATAGAGAACACGAAAGACTGTGGATCATCAAATTGAATTATGGGCTTCGTTATGGAAAAACGAAGACGCTGGAACGTTAACCAAATAAAGCTCGTTATCAATGTCATGTTAAGCACCAATGGAATACGGTACATTGGTCACTTATTTTGCTTATTGAATTATTCACTTTTGCTTGTGAACTTGAAAATGGGCCTAGGTATCACCGGTATCACCTATAGTCCCGTTGATCGTCGATTGACACCATCAGGCGCCAGTAAATCTTCCATTTTCCTTTGTCGTATGCAAGAGTAGCCCAGTGGATTCTACTCGCTCTAGAGACTCGTCGAGCATCATATCTTTCTTCAAGGCTCTTTGTGAAAAACTCTGACCATAGGGTCGGCGGTATTCATGTAGTGCATTTAACATGCCAAAGAATCTACTCACTAACGGCACTTGTCCATCGGTCGTCATCCATACGCATTACGTGTCCGCCCCACCTTATCTTCGACTGCTTGGCGTACAGAACGGCATCTTTGATTTTTGATCGTTGATACAGAACGGAGCTTCGGATCCCATCCCTCACTTGTGTGAAACGGAATACTCCAGGCATCGTGCTTTCGACTGCGCGTTCGATAACGCTGAGTGATCTTTCATCCTGCTTATGCACCGACCAGGTCTGTGACGCATACGTTAACGCAGGAAGTACCGTTGAGTCGAAAAAGTGAGCACGGAGTCGGATGTTCTTTGTTCTCCTCACTACATCCTCGATGCTCTTGAAAGCTCCCCAAACCGCTCGTTTCCTTCTGCTCAACTCTGGAGTTAAGTTCTTCATCATGTTGATTTCCCGGCCTAGATAGACGTAACTGGAGCATTCGGAGATATTCGTTTCGTTAAACATAAATGGGGCATATGAAACCAATCTATTCCTCATTAACATCATTTTTGTGAAATTTAGCTGAGGACCAATCTTTTCAGAAGCTTTATCTAAGTCGGCAAGCATTCGTTCTGCTTAGCTAATGTTTCTTGTTATAAGGACGATGTCATCAGCAAAACAAAGATGGTGTAGTTGCCGACCATCGATTTCCATTCCTATGTTGTCCCATTCCAATGTTGGCACTACGTGGCGGTAAATATTTTTGGTGAGATGGCATCGCCTTGCCAACCCCTCTTTTGACGTCGATGTTAATATCGTTGCTCAATGGTGATATCTTGGTTGAGAAATTTTTGTACAGCTCACGAGAAACCTTTATGAGTAGAGATCTCTGACTATCAAGGGATTCCATGACTGCTTCTATCTCAATTGAATAAAAGGCCTGTAAATCGAGGAAAATGAGACAAAGCGATCTCCTGTACTCTTGCGACACTTCAAAGAGTCTTGTTATCGTGTGGATGTGGTTCGTCGTACTAAATGATTTTCGAAACCCTGCTTGCTCACATGGCCGTACTTCGTTCAGTGTTCTGTCAATCCTGTTTAGGATGGCTCGAGTGAAAGTTTGTGGACGGCAGACAACAAGCAAATTAGGCTATAGTTGCCGATATCGTGGACATCACCTTTCTTGAACAATAACACGGTCTTGCTGGTCTTCCACTGAGTAGGGACCTTGCATTGAAACAGGTAACGTGTGAGGGGCTAAGCCAGTGTGTTTACGAGGACCGGCAAAAGGGTCTTGAGAAGTTCAGATTTATCCTGTACGGACCTGGTGCTGTTCCGCTTTTCATCGACGAAATAGCATGTAGGATTTCGGAAGGGAGAACCAATGGTACAACATGTTCATACTCCTTTATTTCATATGACGGAAGGTGGACCGGCTATCGAAGAGATCCGAGTAGTATTCGTGAATGATTTTCTCCATTGCCTTTCTGGACGCTGTAACTGTTCCATGTGGTCGTCAGTGTACAGTCGTTTTGTTCTTGTAATTGGCAAAACATAGGTGGGCTTGGCGAATGCTTTTCCGTGCCTGTGCAGCTTTGACCATAATTGTTCTTCTCTCTTTAAGATCTTCTTTTATCGTCTTTCTGCATTGTTTTTCAAATTCGGGTATTAGTTCGTGGGTGGTAGCCTGCAGCTCTTACGATTCCACGCTGGCATATCAGCTCGAGTGTTTCTGGAGAAAGAGTCTCTTGGTGACTTTGAACTCTCAGCTTTTAGAGCGCTTATGTGGAGATGTTGAATGAGCCGATCGTATTCTTTGCCGATGTTATCCACAGCGACATCTTCCCAACACTCGACTAATGAATTGAATAAGTCCCAGTTTATGGTGGTTCTGAGACCACGGTTTTCAAATTTAGGGGCTTTTTCTCCTTTTCGCGAGAAATAGAATCTTGCACGAAGGACGTGATGGTCTGATCCTGTGTAAAACTTTAAGACAACAGCGATATCGGTAAAGCAAAACCTTTGATTTACTATGATATGGTCTATTTCGTTGTCGTGCTCTCTACTGGGAGACTTTCACCTTCGGAGTTGAGGACGGGGCTTTTGGAATCATATTATATTGAACGGTCATGGTTTTCGTGATAAACTCAGGCAGCCGTTCACCCTGTTCGTTCCATTCTATCCAATGATAACCTTAAAGAATGCATGATCTTTTCTGTAGAACTTTTCCAAGCCCATTTAGAACGGTTCGACTTCTTCTTCGTCATAGCTTGATGTGGGTGAATAACCGACGAAGATTGTCAAAGCCAGTATTGTCCCACATCTGTTCAACAGTACAAGTTCGATTCGTCTTGTTAGTTATTCGAATGAATCGATGTTCATGGATAAACTCGTGCTGACGGCAATTCCGACTCCGCTGACTCTTCTACTGTGGCATGTTCAGAGAAACTGTCCTCTTCCGTTGTCATAAACAGCGTTCAGTAGGTGGCAACGGCTCGCCTCGGCCAAGCTGATGACGTCGCACCTCGTACTTCTTGCTTGCATGATCACGTCTTCTACTGAAGACTCTAATGCAAGTTTGCGTGCATACAAAGTACAGACCGCCACCTTAGCTCTTTATGATATAGGCAACTTAAAATGGTTGTGAGATTTTAGCAGCTTCTCCATATTCGTCCTCTGATGCTGCCGAAGCGGAGGCTCTTTAGGGGTCAGGGAAATGAGGCCCATTTCTTTTACTGTGTTTAGCTTTTTGGTACCCACGTACAGCTTGCTGAGCTCTGATTGTGGGGGCTAGGTATACTCATGGGTAGCCGGGTTTTCCCAGAGTGGACATAGAGCTTATTTGTTGGAGGCGACTCGTAGCCGCCTCCCATATACATCCTTGTCACTTGATTGTAGGCTTTTGGACGAATTGACTCTTAGAATACAATCCGCATAAACTAGAACGCACCCACACACGCAGGCATGAATTCGCCCCGCAAGTACAGAAAGTATGTGCGAAGTCGGCCCAGCAGAAAGAGGGAGTACATTCTCTGGATCGACCTGCGTCTCACGGAAACACGGTCGCTTTTGGTCCGCGATTAACCTCCTATCCGCCACCTAGGGACGCGCCACGTAGCCTCGCGACTAAACGGCTATCGGGATCTCCGATATGAGGAAGATCCGTGGCTGGGTAGTGTTGAAAATATTCGTTGATTCTTGGTGGTTCTGCACAAGTTGCACTGCTCAGATTTATTTATATCACTAAATCTTAGTCCACACAATCAAGCTGATTGCATCTCAGTTTGCGTTTATGCTCAATGAAGAGATTTTTGCTTATGATGCTTATGATATGATGCTTAGGATGATCACCAAATTCCACTTGAAGTACTACTTGAACGACTGAAGACTTGTAAAGATTCTGTAAGAATTCGATTTTTCCGCGCTGTTTGTAATGAAGAGCTTAAGCAACTTTTTAAAAAGCCGATTTGAGGGTTTATCGACTGACGAAGCCGCTCGAAGGCTACGTATGTATGGGCCAAACGCTTTGACACCGCCTTATAAAACGCCCACATGGGTAAAACTGCTTCAAAATCTTTTCGGTCAGCCATCTATGGAAATCTTTCAAAGAATAATTCAAATTGCTGTACTGAAATATCTTTCAAGTTAGCTCTTAGTGCTATATAACACCTCATCTTCAACGGGCGATATTTGAGATTTATTAGGCGTATATTGTTAAGCCCCTAACGGTTTACCGCCCCATCGTGGCTGGGAGGTGTTCCTGGGTGTCAGACTGCGATGTACAGCGGGGAAATTCGTGCCTCCGGCAGGGTCTCCCAAGCTGAGCAGTCCGGCTTTTCTATCAGGAAGCTTAGTAAACCGATACCAGGATTCGCCACCGTACTGATATTGGTTTACTAAGCTTCCTGATAGATCAAAGTTGCATAGTGGCAAATCTCCCTTTGATCCACAAGGCTGTAACTGCCTGTGGTGGTGACGATCTAGGGCAGACTTTGGAAAGGCTGACCTCGGGATTCCAGAGAAGCACAGTGGCTTAACCAGCAAATCTCCGAAAATGGTGATTATGCTAGCGCCCGCGCAATCACTGAGAACGGGCCGTTCAAGTTTCAAGTATATTGTTAAGAGATGAGTAGAACATGAAGGTTCCAGGTGGATTTAATATGTTGCTGTGGATTGCGGCTGCTGCATCTCTTGTTGGTTACTTCATGGAACGAAGCGAATTTGGTGATGATACAAAGGCTGACAACGTGTGTTTCTATTCCAGCGTTCTGCGAGCTTCAACAGATTTATCGATTAATGGGTCCTCCACTAGAAATTTACTTTATTTGTTAAGGGTAGTATTTGTAAAATAGTAGCGTGTATTTGCGCTGATTAATACTTAAGGGCTGACGCCTAGATTCGTGTGGTTGATGTATCAATTTGACTCTTTATCTTTCGATGTACAAGGTGTGAGGTGGATATCCACTCACGCTAATCACTAGGGCTACCGATGTGACAGTAGATATCCAATCATGCCGGTACCTAAGGGTTAAATGGTACCTATTGCTCTGCAGCCAGGCTTAAAAAATTGTTCAGAAGAGTCTGCTATAAAATGTGTTGAATGTGAATTTCAAACATTTTAGCTGTACTTGGCAATCACGTTGGCAACTGTGGTGACGATTACTGGTTTGTTTTCATTTTATCAAGAAGCGAAAAGCGGAAACATTATGAGTTCATTTGCTAGCATGATTCCTACAATGGCGCATGTGGGTTTAGATTTCCGTTACTCGGATCTTTTCTTTAATATTTGTGTTTGTCAGCATTTCATTCCACAGCTTTTTTCCTAAGCGTTTTTTTTTCCTTGAAAATGAATGATGCCTTGTGGCCTGCAGTTAACGTGCTGACAAAATTCCATCTTAAGTTTCGTCTTAACGGCTTCATCGTCGTGTTTGTTCTTTTCGTACTGGTTAGGTTACTGTAAGAAACACTTAGGTGCTTCTCTTGATGCATTCAACCAAAAATGGCCGCAGTTGTTTAAAATCAGCGAAAGGAGCCGTCAACCAAATGATAAGAAAGGCTTCCTGAACGAGCAGCTAATGACGATATTCTTGTGTTCTTAATGAACATTCGCAAATATTTTTTGGCACTGTCTAACACCTCGGTAGACGTATTTTCCCTCAGAATTTGACTAAAATTGTATAAGTTAATGATGGTCCTTCCCAGATTTGAAAAGTCGAAATTCATCGAAAGAACGTTAAGAAAACGTTTGCAAAAAAAACATCAAAAAGAAAAAAGTGGAAACCTTACTAAGAAAATCTAATTTAGGTGATCCGAGACAGTAAAATAATGGATGTCAAAGTCGAGGATCTGGTGATTGGAGATGTCGTTGAAATCGTTGGTGGAGACAAAGTGCCAGCTGATCTAAGAATTTTTCACGCAAGAGGACTAAAGGTTATACTTTTTACCCAAAATTGAAGGGAATCGTTGGATTTTCTATGAAAGTATAATTGCAAACTATGCTCGGCGGAGCTCATTGACTACTGAACTACACAGAGGATACCGTTATCGCCTTCCGAAGGTTGACATATAAAATTGAGCTCATCGAACGAATCTGTAGGAAGAAGGTTAGATAAATGAATAGGTGGAAAATGTAAGTTGCGCCTAAATTTCGCTCTGTAGGAACTATAGAAAATAGCGTTAGGCAGTTAATGCATTGAAGAGAGCGATGACGCCATGTAAAAATGGATGTCATTAAGGATGAACTGTTAGAATACACACTCGAATTCTCTGAAATTCCGTTACAGGTAGATAACTCATCCTTGACCGGTGAGTCGGAGCCTCAGGTTCGAACTCCCGAATTCACTCATAAGAATCCTCTTGAGTCCAAAAATGTGGCTATGTTCTCGACTAATGTGCTGGAAGGAAGTGGGCGAGGTGTTGTCATTCTCACAGCAGACAATACGGTAAGAACATTGAGTTTTCGTAGATTTTTTCTTTAGGGGAAGCACTGAATTGGTTGGGTAGTTTTCAGCCCTATAGTTTTCATCGCTGCTGCTTTCCTATAGGCTCGCCATTACGTTGTTTGGTGTTCTCAAGCCTTTAAACAATGAAAACCATTCCGTGCCACATCACTTAAATAAAAAACGATAAAGGATAAAGATTTCGGCTTCGATCAACCCCTAGGAGATACACTATGAATTTGACTCCATTAATTATTTCAGAGGTTAATGAATGCATTGCAGGCTTACATATTAACTTGCAGTAATCCACCGATATATCAAATTGGTGCTGCTTATCCTCCCTAGTAGTTCTGGAACCAATTTGCCGACCCCTGAGAAATGGAAAACTTGCCGATCGCAAGGCGCTAGCTTGACCATGTATGCGTTGCAGAGCACTTCTATCTACTGCGTTGTACGCATTCTTTAGTTAAGGAAGCTGCCTGATAATACGATGTTATCAGTACTTGGTATCAAAGCGCCGCCTTTTCGCCTTTATTCATATAAAGAATAAAAGGATAAAGCTCTCGGCGTTGATCAATCCTTGAGGGATGCGTCATGCATTCGTCTTCATTACGTATCGTTGGAGGTGATTGAATGCATATCCAGCCTTTACAATGACTGGCGGTGGCCTACCGATGTATCGAGCCAGTGCTGTTATCCTCCCAGACAAGTCTGGTACTAATTTGCCGACCCCGTAAGGATAAAAGGCTTGGTGGGCCATGGGCGCGGGGATCAATTCCACGTGTGTGTCGCAGTGGCGCCTCCAATAATTGCGCCACACATGCCCTTCTTTATTCATATAATCTAGGAAAAAAGTAAAGCGCAAAAGATGCTAAGTGTCGCGTTGACCACTCCCTTTGGAATGCACGAAGCATATCTGTTAAGTCTAACCGTAGAAATGGTCAAATGCACATTTTATTTATTCAGTTATTTAGGGTGAACTATCGATCTGTTCGGAGGTCGGAGGCGCCCTGCAACATACACGTGTAATCGATCTCCGCGCCCATGGCCCACCAAACCTTTCGTCCTTACGGGGTCGGCAAATTAGTACCAGACTTGTCTGGGAGGATAACAGCATTGGCTCAATACATCGATAGGCCACCGCCAGTCATGGTAAAGGTCAGATATGCATTCTATCCTTTCCAAACGATGCCTAATGATTAATGAATCCCGCATCCCTCAGAGATTGATCAAAGCCAAGAACTTTACACTTTTTATTTATTGACCTGTTGACACAATGTTTTTGTCCTCGCAAAGTACTCCATTATCGGTTTTCCAACCTCAGAGGATGAAAGGATTGGTTAATGGGTAAGATCGAAACAATGAGCATATTGCACTACCGCCAATTGAACTTCTCACTGGAATATCGTGAACTCAATGAGTTTCCATATAATTGACAAACAATAAACGGCTCGGCGCTCATCAATCCCCGAAGGATGGACCATGCATTAAACTCCATTAGTAACATTGGAAATGTGATTGCATTTATATCTAGCTTATACAATGACTTGCGGAGGCCTGCCTATGTATCAAGTCAGTGTTGTTGTCCTAGACAAATTTGTTTGTTGCCAAGTTTCCGACTCCGGAGGTGAGAGAGAAATAGAGGACCTCGCCCATAGGATTAGAACCATAGATTGATTCAACGTGTATTGCAGAGTCCTAACCACTGCGCTGCCGTACAAACTTTTAATTCCCATTTTACGGGTCAAAATCTATCACAAAATACTACGATGGAAAGTCGAATGCAGAAACAACGGTTATTTGCTATTAAAATGATTGCTGTCCCTCGTCTAACCGTACATATTTGTTAAATGTTCACACGCGATTTAAACTCTTAAGATCACAAATGGACCAAACGGTCAGATAATGTGGAATGGTCATCACAGGGCGGTTTCCAGGTGGTCGGCAGAATTGCGGCTCTCACCGCGCACGTATCATCGGGTCCAAGTCCTATCGCCAAGGAGATTTATCACTTTATTCATATTATCACGATTGTTGCATTGAGCGTTGGTGTGACATTCTTTGTATTGTCCATCATTTACGGCTATACACTCATTCACGTATGTTTGGCAGCTTTCTTTGTTCTTCTTAGTTTTTAGAGGAATAATTCATTTAGAATAATAAGCTAAAACTGTTTGAAAATATCATTCTATTTGTAGGCGCTCATCTTTTTCATGGGGATTGTCGTTGCCAATGTTCCCGAAGGAATTGTGGCCACAGTTACGGTAGGTTCTTTCACCACCTCCGCATTAACCTTCAAGCAATTACTCCTGTCTTTTTAAGTAGTAAACGATATGATTAGATGTCCTCAAATTGCTCCTATAAGTATTCTTCCTGTAGTCCACCTCTCACGTGTGCGAGATCCTATGTGTTCCTTATAAATCCTTACAAGCCAACAACTGGTACAAAAAGGAATAGTTTTATGGGAGTCAGCGAATGTTCGACATACCGCACGTCATTAACACGTTAACTACAACGGTAGCTGGTAAGTTTCCTGACAAAGCAGGGACACTGAGCGCTCTGACCTCGTCAGCAACAGTTTTCTGTGTCTCTCTGCCTGTATTATGGGTAAGAAGTCATCGCAGGGTTCATACATTCGTATAAACACTGCTATATCTTTTCGCCTTTACATTCCGTATTCATCGGAAGCGATATTTGTGTTATTCTGATGGTACAAAAGGGAAGGAAACACCGTTGGATCTACGTAGGCGACTGAACACGCCTCAAAAGTTTTTTTATTCAATGTCGGTATGAAATAGCCTTTTTCATACGGTCCTTGGAGCGAATTTAGTGTAAGAGATATGGCAGAAGTTTGTGGGTGAAGAGGATTAATAGGAAGTAAGATTGATTTTATGGATAAAGAAATAAAACTTCTGGCGTTGATCAATCGCTGAGGGGTGTGCCAGCTTAATTTCATTAATCCTCCTTAGAGGAAATTAAATGCATATCTGGCTTTTCCTATAAGTTGCGTTGGCCAACTCACGTATCGGGTCATTGCTGCTATCCTCCCAGACAAGTCAGGTATCAGTTTGAAGATAACGTAGGAATCGAAGGCTTGGCAAGCCCGAGGGGCGACATCAAACTAACGACCACGTGTATGTTGCAAGGTAACTCTAACCTACGCTACATGCACCAATCTTAATAGATATCGATGTTAATGTTTAAAGTTCTTTTTCAAGGCGAAATAACCCTGCGAAAACCCTAGGAATCAAAGTGATACCATCGCTGGAGACATATTTGCCCATACTTTGTTTCAATGCTCTTAATAAACGAGTGCCATTTAAAAACATTTTATCATTCTGATAATTGAAATTTCGTTCACTACGTGTCATATGTCGCAGTGCAGCAGCTATACCATCTGCGAAATTACACTTAATATTTATCTGTGAGTCACATATGGCACTTATAGAAGCATTTTAAGGTGTGTCTTACCTTAACAGCCGTCAAAATGCGTCGAAAGAACTGTTTGGTGAAAAATCTCGAAGCTGTCGAGACACTGGGTTCTACGTCCACAATTTGTTCGGACAAAACAGGAACACTCACTCAGAATCGCATGACTGTCACACACTTGTGGTGAGGAGGAGCTGCAATATATGAACTAATCTGCAGTTGTCGTAATTGTTCCAACAGTCTATGATTTTGCTTAGTCTATTCGAGCTCCTTTGGGTAGTGATCAGCATTAGTAAGACTAGGAAAGAAATGAAGCAAAACTAAGTAAATTTCAAGTAGAGATATAGATAGATGACAGTGCTCTGCAAGAAATAGTAGGGAGAAATCTCTTGGCGTTGATCAACCCCTTAGGGATGCGCCGTGCATTCGACTTCATTAAGCATCGTGTGGAGGTGATTGAATGCATATCTGGCCTTTAAAATGACTAGCGGTGGCCTGCCAATGCATCGAGCCAGTGCCACTATTCTACCAGACAGGTCTGGCACCAATTTGCTAACCCCGGAAAGATGGAAGACTTGGTGAGTCTGGAGTGATAGTATCGATCTTATGTGTATTGAAAGGCGCCTCCATCCACTGCGCTACTAGCGCTCATAGTGTTTAACAATAAATGTGTATATGTGTTTCGTATGATTATAAATACTGTTCCTCAAACGCAGCTCTATAATTATAGATGCAGATAATGCGCTTCTATTCAATCCACTAGCTTAATGCCGATTGCCTGAGAATGACGACAGTCTTATATGGAGAAATCTAAGGATCAACTTTGCCTTTTAGAGATATATGCATTTTAGGTTCGATGACAAGGTGGTGGATGCAGAGCAGTGCCTTCCAAGTGGCAGAGCCGGTCAGATAACCCACCATCCAGAAGGAACTGAAAAGCTGTTGATTCGATGTGCAGCACTTTGTAGCAAGAGCAAGTTTAAGGTGTTTTTCATTAACAGTCTTTTTTGTGAGTTCTTGAGAACAAATAACTAATTTTGATATATGGATTTATTTAAGAGCAATTTGATATTAAAACCACGCCCGCATCCTGCTAAAGCTTCTATTTTCCGTTTTCTGAGTCAACAGCTCTGACGATGACATGTTTCTCCACCGTAAGCACCTACGGTCCGGAGTTTTGCAAATATCTCAGTATCATAGTTGTTATGTGACGACGATTGTCTATCGAAAGATAGAAATTAGAACTCTGTAAGAAAAGACCACTTGCTAGCTTATTTTTATTTTAGAACGAGGACTTTTCGGTGCCTCTTGCACGGCGAGAAGTGACCGGCGACGCTTCCGAAGTGGCAATTATGAAGTACTGCGAGCTTATCCTCGGCGATGGAGGCACGAAAAAAATGCGCGACAAAGTACCGAAAGTTGTCGAAATTCCCTTCAACTCAACCAATAAATATCAGGTACCAACTGTTATCATCAAAAATAATGAAACTTTCGTTGAATGTCGCCACTGGCAATCTTAGTGTATCGAGTTCCCACAAACAGTTTCCAGTCAGTCATGGCTTAAGGAAGCTCTCAGAATCAAAATACGGTGCATGATAAGGATCTATTTGTACAGAAAGTTGATACAGAACGGAAATCAGTTCGAAATTTTCGTAAGTCCAGTCAAAACTGAACTATACCACGATAGAGATTAGCAAGTTCCCTATGGTTAGCTTCCCATCTAGATCAGAAAAAAAGGCGTCAAACCAAAATGATGTCTTTGATGACCCACAAGTGAATGGAGCTCATGGTGCTGAGCCATCAAGACAAATGAGTTTATTGGTACCATCTCCATCTCCTCCATGCGATGATTAATGGATTGATGCACGTGATAATGCAAACCGATGAGTTGAAAGAAGGATTGTGCTGTTGTGGAAATTGGAGATATTACAACTTTAATCTTTTATTTTCTGTCTACTATAACTTTTCACGGCAGGGTGTGATGTGAAATACAACCATAACGATGCTGTAGGCAGAAAATAAAAGGTTAATATTGTAATTTCGACTACAGCTTCAGCTTAAATGGGTTCAATGTCGATTTGTACTTCCCAGATCAAACCCGCTGACAGGTTATTGCTAATGGCAGCATTAGGTGAAAAACTAGTTGAAAGAAACGCAGAGCTAAGGTCTCCGTGGTGCTGTGTGTAATACGAGAGCCCCGGGAAGAGGTAACCGTGGTTAGATCTGGCCCGGACTCCAAATTTTGCGAATGTCTCGGCATCGTTGTGGCTGTAGATACTATTGCATATTTCATCTCTAGAAGGAATGTATACAAAGAGAATAAGAAATACAAGGCAAAATGAATTTATTTTATTGCTAGTTATTGCTAGGTCTCGATCCATCGAAATGGCAATCAATTTTTGTTGGCTATGAAGGGGGCACCAGAGAAAATATTGAAAGCTTGTTCGACCTTGATGATAGATGGCAACGAGATTGCAAAAGATACTAAATTCGAACAGGACTTCGTGAAGGTACTGAATTCATACTTTCAAATTTTATAAGAACGTAGATCACCTCGAATTTAACGGCAGGGCACGGCGAGAACTCTGTGAATGTGAAATACGTCAAACTATCTGTTAAGAATCCTTTGTAGTACAGCTCATCAAGCTAGGTTTCGGTATCTTTTGTCCAGAAAAAGGTAAAATGAAGAGTGTCACCTTTCTTATCTTTTGAAAACTGAAGTCTAAAACTGTTATGTAGGAAAGCTATTGCAACGATCTATGTACCCATGGAGGGCGCGTGTGGCGCAGTGGTTGGAAGGCCCTGCAACACACACGTGGAATCGATTCCTGCGCCCGTGGTCCACCAAGTCTTCCATCCCTCCGGGGTCAGCAAATTGGTACCAAACTTATCTGAGAGGATAGCAGCATTAGTTGTGAGCAACCACAGCTTCTGTTGGTGAAACATGCATTGTTACGCTTATAGAAGCTGGAAGCAAACTCAGAGGCTCTGATGACTACAGTGAGCAACCACAGCTTCTATAAGCGTAACAGGATATCTTTCCAGAGTATAGTTAAACACGAATAAGTTGTAAGTGATTACAGTTTCTGGAATGAAGAATGTTCTCGATGTTTTAAATAGGTTGTTCTATACATCAGTAGGCCACAGCGAGTCGCTGTAAACGCCACATATGCATTCAATCACCTTCAAACGATGCTTAATGAAGTCGAATGCATGTTTCACCAACAGAAGCTGTGGTTGCTCACTGTAGTCATCAGAACCTCTGAGTTTGCTTCCAGCTTCTATAAGCGTAACAGGATATCTTTCCAGAGTATAGTTAAACACGAATAAGTTGTAAGTGATTACGGTTTCTAGAATGAAGAATGTTCTTGATGTTTTAAATAGGTTGTTTCTGTCAGAATAGCCTGTTGGCCTCGCAGTGTCCGGAAATGGTCGCAAGGCCAACGAATAACATTTTATTGCTTCAGGTCTACGAACAACTGGGCGGGTTCGGAGAACGAGTGCTTGGTTTTTGTGATTTAGAGCTCGATCCAGAAAAGTTTCCACCCAACTACGTATTTGACACGGAAAAACCAAATTTTCCTCTTACAAGTACGAATTATACCTTTCTTCGTAGAAATATATGCTAGAAAAAAGTAGTCATGAAAAATGAAAAATATCTCTATAGATAAGATTAAAATTCCTTTTTACGACGTCTAATTCTGTCACCTCTAGTTGTTCACTATTATATGCATGAATGGGAGGCGGGTGGGTGGTTAAAAATAATAGAACAGTTGAGTGTAATGTTCCCTTCTTTACGGACCCTGGTCTGATTTTTGCGCAGTACACTGTTCACATGTCGCACCATGTTGATTCACCATCGCCAGTAGAGTTAAAATAATTTCTCTCCATCTTTTTTTCCATCTATTAAAAAATGTCGAATAATCGCAGTTCATTGATTCATATTTAACTTCACAGATCTACGATTTCTTGGATTGATTTCTATGATCGATCCACCGCGGCCCGGTGTCCCACAAGCTGTACAGCTTTGTCAGTCGGCCGGCATTAAGGTCAGGAATCTCGCAACGATTACAAATTTTTCAAGCATTTTCAATTAGTTGAACACGTGAGATACACGCAACGCATTAGCTTATTGATGTGTGTAAGGCATGGGTGTTCAAACGTTGTCTTAGCCTCAACGTGAAATCAAACTGCTTAGTTGAATACTTGGACGGCCCGTCCTCACTGGTTGTGCGAGCCCCAGCACAATCTCCATTTTACGGAATTTTGCTGGCTTCCCTATTGTGATTCCCTGGAACCCTAAGGTTATCCTAACCGAAGTCTCCCCAGGTCGTCACTACTGCAGGTAGTCGCTGCCCATGTAGATCAGAGGGAGATTTACCACCATGATACTAGTCTGATACTAGGACGATGGTGGATCCTGGTATTGGCTTACTCTTAACTAGACTTCCTGATGGAAACGTCGGACTCCCTCTCAGCTTTGGAGACCCTGCCGGAAGATGAATCCTCCGCTGTACATCGCAGTGCGACACCCAGAAACACTTCCCAGCCACGATGAGGCGGTAAACCGTTGGGAGGATACTCAAGCCGCTACCATTATGAATAAAGAATTCGAAATTACTGTTACACAATAGCCATGAGCTGCGTTATTTTTTGGCGTATTCTGCGTTTACTACCTACTAATAGTCTGTTTGCAACCATATTGCTGAAACTTAATAGATTTGTCGATAATGTGGTGAAAATTGTTAGTAGGAAATTCAGTTATGTTCCCAGGAAAGTGCAATTGTATAGAAAGTACAGGTACTTATAAGGTGCCGACAATCTACATAATTGACCATTCAATGCGTATGAGGTGATTTTTCGTTCACTATCGTCAGTGACTGGTGAAATCAAGCGTTTTGCTACGTTCCAGGTAGTGATGGTTACTGGCGATCATCCCATTACAGCGAAAGCAATCGCACGTCAAGTTCACATTATTTCTAGGAAAGCCCGTGTACGCTTCACTAGTTTTCAGTAGTTTACTTTGAAGAGAGTATTCATAACAACAGCTAGGAAATTCCCCGTAGGTTATGATGTTTCAGGTTACTGAGCTCATCGAGGACTCTCCGAATGTTCCTGACCATGAGTACTACGGCAAAGGAAGGTGAATATGTCTTCTGTTCGTCTAAAATTTACTAACAACTCAAAAGTTTTTAATATGTTGTGGAAAATGGATGAATTTTCATGTATCAGAACAGAGCAATGAAGCAGTATAGTGCCAGTCACGACCCCAGTTAGATCTGATTCTTGACGCATTTGTACGAATCACACCTGTCAAAATCGAGACCGTAAGGTACCATACGATAACAGTTAAACATCATTTGTTAGGCTGCAACCTACAACGGCAATAATAGTTCATGGCGAGCAGCTTAAGCAACTCAGCGGCAGGACGTTGCGAGAAATTGTCAGCCATTACCGACAAGTACGTGTGAAAGGCAACATCAAGAAATGTTCATGTATTGTTTTTATGCGATAGGTTTTTCCCCAGTCATCTTATGAATTTAAAGGTCGTGTTTGCACGAACGTCTCCAACTCAGAAGCTGCAAATTGTTGAAGCTTATCAGAACACGAAAGAAGTCGTTGGTGTCACTGGTGATGGTGTAAACGATGCGCCAGCACTACGTAAAGCTGATATTGGTCAGTCGGACGCACAACATCTGATTTGCTTGTTGTTATACGAATGGAAATAGTGCATTCGAAAATAGCACCATTTACACTAGCTAGTTTAATTGTAGGAGTAATGTAAACTTTTTATTTACTGCTTATTGCAGTTCTTCACGGCAGAGCATTATGTGTGATACAACCACATCGGTGCTGAAATATTTGCAAAACTCCGGACCTTGGGTGTCTGCGGTGGAGGCGAAACACGCTATTACCCTTTCCAGGGACTAACGCGTTCACCACCACACTATGCGGGTACTTCGCTTCACCTGCCTCTCAACTAACTCTATCCATCAGTGCCATCAGCAGGCACTCGCCGAGGGGATTGATATGGGATTTCAAGTCGGCAATGGACCCAGTTAAGCTGAGGCTGTAGTCAAAATCACAATGTAAACTTTTCATTTACTGCCTGTGAACGCGTTAGTCTCTTGAAAGGGTAATAGTGCGTTCTTTTCCCACCGCAGACATCTGCGGTCCGGATTCTTGCAAATATCTCAGCACCACTGTAAGGGTAGGAGTGATTACCAAAACGATTGCTCGTATTCATGAGAGTTTTTCGCTCTTCGGTTTTCAGTGGTCGCCAAAGAAAAAAGTTTAAAAAATGGTTTTGTTAGAATTTTCCATCGACAGACAACAAATTGGTTGTGTGTAACTTATGTGAGGTCCTGGTACAAATGAGCGAGAATTTCGTGCAGTCAGTGAATTCTTGTAAACGATAGATTAACTATAACAACTTTTCAACGAGAGGTGACTAGGAAAAAATTCTAAGCCAGTTATTTGAGTGGCGTCGAGAATGCGTATTTCGATTGTGGCAGATGCGAATTACAATGGCATATTCCAAGTTCATGAATCGTCACGGAAGGTGTTTGATGAGGACTTCCGCAAAAACTGGAGAAAACTTCATGTTCAGGAATTGCTATGGGTATTGTTGGTACGGATGTCTCGAAGCAGGCTGCTGATATGATTCTTCTAAACGATAATTTTGCATCGATTGTAACCGGTATCGAGGAAGGCCGACTTATTTTTGACAATCTGAAGAAGAGTATCGCTTACACTCTTACTTCGAATATTCCCGGTATGAGAAAAAAGTTTCAGGATCCGAGTTTTGTGAAGGAAATGAGATTCTCAGATTGAGAAATAAAAAAGAAAAATATAAATGCTGTTAACTACGACGATTATCAATAATTTCAACTTTTTTTTTCAGAAATTACACCATTCATGTGCTATGTTTTGTTGGGTATTCCGCTTCCTCTATCACTCGTCGCCATCCTCATGATTGATTTAGGAACAGACTTGGTAATACATATTGCTTAAACACGTTGATTATCTTTTTCGACCGATGGCTAAACACTTTTTCTTCCAAAATTTCTTGGAACTAACCAAAATCGGATGGATCAGACTTTCAAATAGACTCGAAAGTAGTCGATGCACCACCTCTGACCAAACCTTCGAGAGCGGTTTGATCTCGTCAATGCACCTATCCTACGACACATCGATTCATCAGGCTTTCCGTTCTTTCTTCTTTTTCCGTCTCCCTCTCTCTTTCGCTCTCACCTTCTTTGTCCTTCTTTCTGTCTCCTCCTCTTTCAGCTTCTGGTTCTCCTTCTTTCTTTCTCTCTCTTCCTGCACTCTTTTCTTGCTAACCGGCTAATCCATTCACAGTTTCTCCACATTGTTACGAACATACATTTTCACGCAGATTTTCTAGGGAGATCTATATTACTAACTTATTTGGATACTTGGATTCACTGGTTGTGCAGGTCCCAGCAAAATTTCCACTTTTTCGAGGTTGCTGGCTGGCCATTCTTTCCCAAGTCGTCACCACCACAGGCAGTCGCCTTTCTTGTGGATCGGAGGGATATTTGTCACCATGTGACTACTTTGATACCAGGATGGTGATAGATCCTGGTGTTGGTTTGCTCTTAACTGAGTTTCTAAATAAAAACGCCATACTCCTTCGGAGGCCTCGCCGGGGCGAATCGCACCGCTGTACATCACAGCCGACACCCAGGAACACCTCCCGTTCATGATGAAGCGGTAAGCCGTTGGAAGCGAAGTATATTTGCCAATAAGAATAGTATAATCAAGGCGCTTCCACGATCCGCCACCGTCTTGCTATCGAACTAATCACATGGCGATAAATCCTCTTCTGATCCACAAGGACGGCGACTGGCTGTGGTGGTGACGACCTCAGGTAGAATTTGACTAGGCTGACCTCAGGAGTTCAGAGAACCACATTGCCTAGACCTGCAAAATTCTGAGAAAATGCGAATTAAGTTAGGAAGTGGGAACACACAACCATCGAAGACGGACCATACAAGTATCCAAGTAAGTAAGTAATAGAAGTTAAAAAATACTAGGAGATGGTGATTTATTTGTTAATGAACTAAATGCTGTAATTTGGCTCTGAAATACTGACGAAATCATGGTAGTAAGAAATAGGCAAGTGACCGTTGATACCAATTCACCGAAACAGTTACATGCTGTTAGGTCTATCAAGGGTTAGGAGTAGTGCACTCATTGATGATTCACTTTACAATATATTGTTTTATTCTTAAATGATATCAGTCAATGGTACCAATCACATTCCCATTTTTTAATCTATAATTGGACCCAGGAATAACTTGATTTGCTTTGATTTTGAAATTCTGGGCGTTGTTATGGATCATAGCAATCCTGTAGTAGCTTTTTCAATGTCTCACTTGTTTTTCTTTGAATATTATTTGGGGTTATGCTATTATCCTTTAACCCTTTTCTACTGGCATTAATCTCTAGTGGCCTGCTATATCGCTAGCCTATGAGGTTCCGGAAACGGACATCATGGAGAGGCCACCGAGAAATCCAGACTACGACAGACTTGTCAACGTGAGGTACGAATTTTTCCCGAAATGTCTTATTACGTAATACATGGTTTAACATACATGGTTTGTATTAAAAGATGCTTTAACAGGTTGGTTTTGTTTGCGTATCTGCAAGTTGGAGTTTTCCAAATGTACGCTGGATTTGTGACATACTTTGGTAGGTCAGGCGAAGTTTGGTCCTTTCGCCTTTCTCTCTATAGAAGTCTCGAATTTCAGCGATAATGATGGCACATGGTTGGAAGCCTCTAGATCTGATTTACAAGCGAGAACTATGGGATTGTGAGACGTTGAACGATTTGGAGGACAGTTATGGACAGCAATGGGTAAGGCATCTATGTAGCTCAGTCTCAGAATTTTCAACGAAAATAGATATTTTTTCACGTAGGCACAATGGAGAGCTTGACTTGTATCCACCGAAATGGAGCAGTAATCAATACCTGTACTTGATTATGTGTCCTTTTCGTTCAAACTGACTACTTGTAATATCGCTTTCAAACTGCTCCAGTTTATCTGCATCCTTACAAAAATAAGTGAAGCTTTTGGTTAACTGAAGTATTTAGAGCACATTTAAAAGGGTCGTTGAATTACCATAGTAAGCTTTTCATGTCAGACGCAGAGCAAAATTGCCTAGAGTAGAAAAGTTTATAAAATCTTTTTAAAAGAATCATTTCACGAATATCACTAGAGTTACTGTAAGCTGTAACTTCGTAAGTTCGTCGTTGTTGAGATAGAAAATATTTTCCGTCCTGGCTAAAGTGTAGGTGAGAAACTGTTCAATTCTCTTTTTCAATTCTTCTTTTTTAATCATTGGCAGAATATAGACAAAAGCAAAGATGGGTTTGCGCGAAACATGGTGAGAGACAGTAACATCTTCAGTTTTTAAAAAAGGCACTAATCTTTGTTATAATATAGCCGCTATGGAGCACGTATAGCGCAGTGGTTAAAGTTACTCTGCTATGCGCCCGTGGTCGTTGGTTTCATCCCGTACCTCGTCCTGAGCAAATCTTCCATTCCAAATGGGTTGAAAAATTGGTAACATGCTGCTCTACTACCATGGATGGCAATGATTCAGTACATCGGGAGGAAATCGCAAGTCATTGCGCAGGCCGCATATGCATTCAGCTCCACAATGGTTGATGAAGGTTTGGGCCAGGGTTAGGCAATGGCTAATAGGTGTGCTCTGCATTTAATTCGCATTGTGCAGCTAATTCGATCCCATGCACAAGACCCACCAAGCTTTCTATCCTAACGAAGTCGGGATATTGGTAGCGAGCACACCTGGGAGGAGAACAACATCTTGTTGTTAGATCGGTACACTGCCGAAAATTCCTGCGCTAACCATATGCGCATTGAGTCTCCCCTTCGATCCTTGATGAAGTCGATTGCATGAAGTCGAATTCGAGAGCACTACTCAAAAAAGTGATCAACGCACAATGCTTTATCACTTTATCTTCCTATTCACGTTTCACATTCCTTCATTCTTAAACTTTTTGAGGTGCATGTAGCTCAAGCCATATCGTAGAAGCTGGGTTTAAGTTATTGGGCCTTCCAAAAATAGTGGATAAGTAGAAGGTTGTTCTGAACTATCCCCGTTTTATTTCACAGTCGAATGACTGCGGCTTTTGTCAGAAGCAAATCAAATTAATCCTACTACTTATGATCTTTGGTTCCTCTTCAACCTTCCTTCAACGACCTATGAACTCACCACGCCTACTGATTATAGACCTCTGATAAGAGAAAATTTTGTGGAACATTTTTAATTACCAGGTGTCATTGCTAATAATTACGGCTTACTGCTAATCTGGATGTGACGTTCTTCAAACCCCTCGTGCTTTGTTCGTGCCATGTCGAATACTTCGTTGCCTTTTGTTTTCCCTCTTTTTACCTAGGTGAAAATTTAAGCGACGGATTGTAGGGTAATTTTCTTTTATAGAGTTATGCCGCCCGCAAAGGTCTGGAGGCAAGCTGTCATAGCGGCTACTTTTTCGCTGTCGTCGCACTTCAGTGGTCTGACGGTTTGATATCGAAGACGAGAAAGAACTCCATAGTGATGCAGGGCATTGAGTGGGTCATAGACAAAAATTATTGAACTTAATCGCGGTGCGTCTAACAAGGTGGTTAGAAGTGCCCTGAATTGCGCACGTAGTTCGTGGCGCTCTCTTAGGCCCTGCCCACCCATGTGCTCCAACACACAAACAATATTGTCAAACTAATACCAGATTCAGTACTTTAGGTGGCCCTCGAACCCGAGATTAGCCTTTCCGAGGGCTCACGTGTTATCCGCTGCACCACCGAGGTGTTGTTCTCTCTTCCCTCACCAGTTCTTTTATTCTAACGGTAGTATCGCCAGTCGTCCATCAACGGATTTAATTTATGAAGAATTCCATCCCAGTTGGCATTGATCCCAGTTAAGCTGAAGTTGCAGTCTAAATTACGATGTTTTATTTGCCTGAAAGGATAATCGCCTGTTCGATGCGCACCTGGGATTCCGAATTTTCTCAAATCTTAGCATCATTTTAGTTGTATTTCACACTGTACTCAACCTTGAAAAAGAGGCAGTAAATAAGAGCTAAACATTGTAATACTAGACTGTCATTCAAAAGTAAAAGCTTTCACTTGACACATCGGTAGGGTTTGCTAGGCTGCTGTATACCCCAAATATGTATCCAATCACCTCTACCTGCTTTACTAAGCGAATTCATGGCCTATCCCTCAAAAATTGTTCAGTGTTAAACGTGTAATCCTTCATCTCCTATGCCCGTGAAGTCAAATTCTTAAGCAATTAATCTCAGGCATTTGTCGTATGACGTAACGTGGACGTCAACTACATTCGTTGATTAAGAGAATGTCTTTATTTACCTCCACCTATTTGCTTTACCCATTCATCCTTGCGCCATTTTTTAAAATGTGTGGCGCAGTGGTCTGAGGCTCCCTGCAACACACGTGGAATCGACTCCCGCGCTCATGGCCAGCCAACCCTTCTATCTCTTCGGGGTAGACAAAATGGTACCAGATTTATCTGGGAGGATAGCAGCACTGGCTCGATGCATCGGTAGGCCACCGCGGGTCATTGTAATGGCCAGATGTGCATTCAATCGCCTCCAAACGATGCTTAATGATGTCGAATGCATGGCGCATCCCTCGGGGGTTGATCAACGCCGGGAACTTTGTTTTTTTCATTCTTTAAAGTACTCAACGATTATACTCAACAGGTAGCTTAAGCCGTTTCTGAAAAAAATAATAAATTTCAGTAACAATGTGTGATCATTTACAGAAACCATATACTCAATACATCTCTCATTTTCACAGCTCTCATGGCGATGCTTATTACGGTAACGCCTTACGTGAGCGATGTGTTGAAACTGAACGGCATACAGTATGTTCCTATTATTGTTCAGTTGAATTATTAGGAAGTCGATATTCCATTAAGATCTGTTTTATGTTGATTATAGAATACATATGTTAAGTGGTCAAGCAAATAGAAATCGGCCACCACAAATAATAAGCTTAGTTCCTTTTACCAACTTATCTTCTACAGACGAACCCTTCTGCATTCGAGTTTATTCTCTGAAAAAAAGTGTCCTCCTTCTTTGACTCATTAACTCGATAACAGTGTCAAGATTCTTGAACAGATGCAACCTTAACTAACACAATCACTAGCTATAACGTTTCCTACATGTTGGCGGATTATGACGCTCACGAATGAGCACCAGAGTACCTATTTGATACTCTTCCAAGGCAAGGAATCAAACAGGCAAACGATTTTTGGTCACCAGGTTGTAGGCGGATTTGCTTTGCTACGCCGTTCGCGAATGTTCGGTTGAGTGATCGGAGGATTTTTGACTGTCAGAGGAATCGCTTTCATCCTGCAAGAGGGCAATTGGGGAGACATTAAATATTTCACCGGTCGACAAAGGTCCATCAACTGCTCGTAGAGGAGTCCGATAATGCTTCGGCACGGCTATTTTGTGCTTTCGGGGAAGACCACGACGCAACCGCATTTAGAATCTCAATAAGATCTTGCGATTATCAAGTTGCGAGAGAATCCACATGCAACTCTAACCAAATCTGTCAGTGAAACGTCAGAGCATTGCAACGAATTTGAGGAATACTCGGAGCTATAGAAAATGAAAAACCGTTCACCTCAGTATTGAACCAAGTTCAATACGTGCTGTGCTTCCTCTTACCGGTGTTCAGCATTAACAAGCAACTTTCTTCAGCTGTCGTCGTGCCGAAAGGCACACTTTCGTCGCTAAACGTTCAGGAGGGCGGTTAGGGTAGGTGTACCGCCAAACCACGTTGATAACTTGATTGATTTTTCCACTTAAACGGAGAATGATATGACAAGCACTTGGTAGTAAATATGCATTTGCGAGAAGTCGCACAGATGACTTGTTCTCGTTTCAGTTTGGTTGATGCAATGATTTCGGTGTACTATGCCATTGTGATGTTTATTTACGACGAGTGCCGACGTTGGTATCTTCGAAAATATCCAACTGGTTTCATATACAGAGAAACGTATTTCTAAAGAAGTTTGAGATTGAGATCAAAGATTTTTTGAGAAAGAGCATGACGTTTTCGTGCGGCTAAAGACTAATAAAGTCTCTAAAATGGTTCCTCGCCACATTTCACATATTTTCTGGAAACGAAACCCATAATTGTAAGTTGAGAGATACCATGAATTCCACTTCTTGCCTCGATATCTATTCAGCTGTTGCCGCTCTAGAGAAATCCTAATCGTGAAGTGATAAACATTCCTTCTGGCTCAAGAATGGGAAATTGTACGTAGTAATGCAAAGGAACGCTATAACGCAGCTATACTGGATCTACTGGGACAAAAAATTGCGATTTATCAGCATTCATCATGTGAATGAGAAAAAATGATAAAAGATCCAAAGCTGTATCCGAAGTCGCAAGCTTCCTAATGGTGCGAGGAAAGGAAACGAATTGGTGAAATGCGGGGGTTGCGTGACAAGTGTAAACGAGACATTAAAGAACTATAAGAATTGCTACATAAGAACCATAATTTTGCTACAATCCCTACTTAGACTACCATAATGGGTTAACGTTCCATCCTATGAGATCTATTTTCTACGTGTAGAACTCTAATCCAAAGAAACTATGACAGAGGCTATCTCAAAGTTAGAAAGGAAGAAATTTCTGCCTAGAAGCTCATCTACAAGAGAAGAAATCCAATGAAAGGAGGAGGATGGCACAGTAGTAATGATGCTGCTTATTACGGAAAATGGCTAACGAATCCAGGCCTTAGTTCAATTCTTTCTGCTTACCAATCCTTTCATCTCTTGGGCGTCGTAAATTTGGTGCATGACTTGTCTGAAGTGGTAAAATCTCGATTTGGCACAATAGAAGTGCTCGCTATATCTTGTAAAGCAAATATGCATACAATCATCTCTATGATGCTCATTAATTCGAATGCACGGCTCAATTTTATAACTGTCAACGTCGAACGGTCTACCTTTTTTGCCTTTATGTGAACCCATGCCTACCTGAATGCAACAACAAGGAAGTCGAGAATTCATAAAGCTGCAGCCGAACCCAAGAACGTGGTTGGTTGCTTCCGTAAATGACGCCTGTCGCACACCGAGGCGAATGCGGTGATAGTTCTCGCTGGACCCGTTAGTTACTTTATTCTTGCATTTGTAAACGTTATCCTACTTGTTTATTTGTTTGTTTTTATTACACGGTTCATCATCACATATCTTGAGCATATCTCAGCATTTCTATTTTCTATTCGATTCCTTTTCTTGAGTTCATATTCCAGGAAGGTGTTCAGATTTTGGGCGCCGGTTGCTGCCGCGAGTTTGTTCTTGTTGGCCGGTGTCTGGTCAAACAATTGTCTTCTGCAAGTTGAGCGTGCGGCTTCACTGCGCCACCTGTACTACGTAGATATAATGTGAAGGACAGTTCCCAGGATCGACTTTGTATTAACCTCGGCATTGGAATATGAATGCGTCGTTTTCTTGTTCAGAAATCATGAAGGTGTTAAATAGCATACATTTACTTCCATAGAAAAACACAATACAATACAACGCTAGCTGACGTTTCGGCAGTATCGCCTTCTTCAGAGCCTGGAAGGGCATACTGATATACAATCTACTAGGCCAAACGCTTCAATAGCACTTACAAAAAGACGAAAAACTCCTTGGTAATTACATGATCAACAGCTTCTCGAAAAACTCACCGCTTTTTACGTGACTTCCAATGAGGAAGTTTAGAACAGCTGATTATAGTCGCATATGGTTGATGACTGCACCATCCCACATCAAAAATCGATGCGAACATACGGGATCAGGTCGTGTATGACCTCCGGGCATTCATCCCTGCTATTCATTGTAGGGTTTTTGGCATTTATCCAAAAAGTCTCAAAAAGTTTTCGCGCTGGTGTTTTGGACTCCTGTGCAAGGATATTGACTTTTACTTCAAAATCGTCTCCGCTATGCTTTTGTATCCTATGCGTGCCTAGTGGGATGCTTCGTTTTAGTTTTCGTTTGTCATCTTCTAGGTGTTCTTTTATACGGATACACAAAGCTCGGCCCGTTTCGCCAATATATTCATCTCCGCATTTATTGCAAGAGATCAAGAATATCGTTCCACAACTCATGCAGTCATCGTCCCTGCCGTAAGCGCAAAATACGTAATTTGTTGTTTCACATTTGGTATTTCAACTATCGCTACCGATTCTTCTAGACCTGTCCTTCTTAATTGTCGTTTTATAGCTACGCTTACTTCATCGCTAATAAAGGGCAACATAAACGGGTTTTTCCCTTCACCAAGTGCTTCGTCTTGGTGAGTAGCTTTTCTTTTAAACTTATCTTATGAGGTTACCATTTGGTAGCCGTTGGAAATAGCTATTTGTCGAGCCAAGTCGCGCGATTCGTCCTTTAGTTCGTACACACAGAGGTGGCTGTTTGAAACATGTTTCACACAAGCGCTCTCTTTGTGTGTGAAGGGTGGGAAAAAGGAGATGAGCAAGAATGTTCTTGTTACTTGGCTTACGGTACCACTTTGTCATATAGCGACTACTTGATAGGTTTATTTAAACGTTTAAAAACGTAAACGAGTTTCTTC